CCCCCCTGCCTCCCCCTGGCCCTCCCCCTCTCCCTCCCCCTCCCCCTCCCATTTTCCCCCCGCCCAGCGCCAGGGCTCCCGTCTTTCCCCCCCCGGCACCACCAGGAAGCTTGGGGCATCGTGTGTCTGACCCTCCTTTGGTGTCGAGTACCGCTTCGTCGTCGGCTGCACCTACATCTTCAGCTACGTCAGGTACTCCGATCAGATCCAAACCCATGCCTACCAGAAGACGTGAATCACGCCGATTTCGACGCAGTCAATCGTCTGATCTCAGCTAAGTATGTCCGGAGTGACAGGATTTCGCTTGTATCTGTGACGCATGTGAGTGCTGCAGTGAGGAAAGAATGTGCATTGGATGCAAGTGCTGCGAGTATCAATTCATTCATGTTGTATTGCATACCAGAACAGTGTTGCAGCATCCTGCTCAAGTGTCGTCCCATTGCACTAATGTCGAGCAACTCAGCGTGTGACCCGTTGGCACCTCTTCAACGCTGGATTTCCTACACACAACAGGAGCTGATCACAATCAGAGGTGAATTTCGTCACTTTCGCGAAGAAGCTATCTCCGTCCAAAAGATCCAACAAGCCCAACTCGACGTGCTCACCACACAAATCAGGGACACTGAGACTCAGGTGGCAGAAGTCATGTCTGCCATCACAGAACTGTTTCAGAAACGTCAGAAGACCAACGAAGTGGTGGGCAACTTGCTGACGGATTTGCATTCTCTTCAATCTGTGACTTCCCATTGTGTTAATTCTCTTCAGCTGCAAGAATCCCCAGAGTTGCCCCCAACGCTCCCAGCAGAGATTGAAGTCTCAGAGTGAAACGTGAGCAGTTGCAAAGAAGGTTCTGTGCGCCAGTGCCACTGCAAGGGTGTTGCAAGGGATGTGCAAGGGACGTGCAAGTGATGTGCAAGTGATGTGCAAGGGTTATACAAGCGATCTGCCGGCACCATGTGTTGTGAGCGTTTGCAGACACTGTCTTGATTCATGTCCTCAAGGTACTCTGCAGTGCAAGACAGATTCGGAACGTATAAGTAGCTTTCCATTATGTCGGTGTCCAGTTTCGAGAGCGATGTTGCCTCTGTATCGGACGTGCACTCTTCCGACTTTTCGTCAGACCTTGCAGTATCGGACCAAGAACATGATCGACGTGCAGATGTGGCATCAGGTGCTACTTTGGTCAGCGATCCTGATTCGGCTGATTTTGCTCTTGATCATGAGAGTATCAATGCGTCATCATCCATTGACCGACAGTCTACGTCAATGTCCTCTGGTCGATTAGTTCATGTCCCAAAGCCGAACCAGCCCGCTGCAGAGCACACCAACATGTTGCAGACGGACCCACCGCGGAAACGCAAACTTCGTATGATTGATGAAGGGTCTGATGGTGTGCGCATCAAGATTCGTCCTGCACCCAGTACCCAATTTCGCCGCAAAATGGAAGGCACGAGAGTGCTTGGTGACGATTTCTTCATTCACAACAGAGCTCAGTTCATTCTCGATTTCTTGAGACAGCATGGAGAACGCATTGCCAAAGAAAAGCAAGGCCCTAGGAAGCGTTTTTCGTCCACTTTGAAACTTGTGCAGTACGTTTTAGACCGAAAGTGAGAGAGCGGACAAAGACAGTGGAAGAAACTGAAGAGTGCGCGTCTGCCGTGCTGTGCATTATCAGTTTCCTGCATGAACCGTCTTGAGGTGCAGCATTTGGCATCCAGTGAAACTGTGTAGGTTGCCCAACATGAAGCGCAAGGCCCGTGAAGCCAATCTGCCTTGGAGTATGAGCCGTGACTACATTTTTCGGATGTGGGTTCGTGTCTGCAGTCGGGCAACCGGACACGAGACTATTACTCTCCACATCCAGCTATCAATCAACGATTCCATCAACGTTGCCAAATACCTCGTCGCGATGCAGCTCTGGGAGAAGTTCGGCTGGTGGCCTAGGTTACACACTTTTCAGCTTGTACAAAACTTTCGCCATCTTCGGTTTACTGAACCTGTAACGACTGCCCAAACCCTTGAACCGGTCGATTTCGTTGTGACGGTATAAAAAGAGTCCACCTCTGCGTCATGTCAAGAGAAGTGACGAGCAAGGGATGTGTAAGCGGATTGCAAGTGATGTGCAAGGGACGTGCGAGGTTCGTGCAAGTGCGGTGCAAGAAACGTGCAGAGTGACAAGTCAGAGATATGCAAGTGCTGCGGTGTTGGGAGCTGCGTTCGTCAGACATGTAACAGAGTTTTGTATCAAGCACTCTGAAAGTTTTGTAGATTTTGAACAACATGGATTGGGCCGCTTCTGACGTGCTCGAGAACATCTTGACGTACGTGTTGCCGATCAGAGCCAGAATTACATTCATTACTCGCCTCGATCGAAATGATGACCCAGAAGAGGCACAACCCATAACCGACACCATGGTGGCGTACACGTTTCTGCAACGTGGAGTACAGGAATTTCGGCTGTCCTCCTCGGTTGAGTTGACCATGGGCTTTCAGTCTTTGCATACCACCATCCGTTTTGTCCAAATCAATGCCGTGGCTTGCACCATGTTGGGCAGCCCTTCAAAAAGGTGGATGCGAGCTGTGGTAGAGCTAGTACAGGAGCGTTTGCGAGTGAGTATCGTGTCATTGGCCAATGCTGTGTACCAAACTGCAACTCAGTGTTGCATGTACTTCGATGCTGATGCGGAAGAAGCCGATGTCGAATTGCACTTAGTGTACAGACTGCGTTTCCTGAAGTTTCGCAGCCCACTTTCCTAGATCTCTTGAGCATAAGACTTTCCGATGGAAAAAACCGGTGAGATAAAACAGCGCGCAACGACCGTCAACATTGCAAGGAGCCCCTCGGGGCTTGTGTGTGTCCAACTCTGTTTCCAAGAGATGTGAGTGAGTTAAGCAGCAGGGGGCAGAGGGTCTCATTTCACGGCCTCTGCCAACGAAGCTCCGTGATATTGAGACAGGTAAACGTACCTGCAGTGGTCGGCATGGGCACATTTGTGCAGCTTGCGACTACACAACTGTTGATTGCGGGTAGGAGTGCAGTGCAGTTTCATGTGCAGTTACATGAGTGATTCGCGTGTATCCTATGGTAATGCTTCTGATTGCATGTTCTGACTTTCCCTTGCAGCTTCTGACTTTCCCTGACAGCTGCTGACTTTCCCTGACAGTATGCACCGACAGATCAGACCTGCGACACGATGTGTCAAGTGTCTGTGTGTGTGTCTGTGTGTGTGTGTGTGTGTGTGTGTGTGTGTGTGTGTGTGTGTGTGTGTGTGTGTGTGTGTGTGTGTGTGTGTGTGTGTGTGTGTGTGTGTGTGTGTGTGTGTGTGTGTGTGTGTGTGTGTGTGTGTGTGTGTGTGTGTGTGTGTGTGTGTGTGTGTGGGTGTGCGTGTGGTGGTGCGTGGGTGCGTGGGTGCGTGGGTGCGTGGGTGCGTGGGTGCGTGGGTGCGTGGGTGCGTGCGTGCGTGCGTGCGTGCGTGCGTGCGTGCGTGCGTGCGTGCGTGGGTGGGTGGGTGGGTGGGTGGGTGGGTGGGTGGGTGTGTGTGTGTGTGTGCGGACACCTGTTTACCAAGGATTTTGCTAAAAGACACCGAGGGACCTCAGCTATTGTCCAATGACTGCAGGCATTACATCGCTTGAGGCAAATGCTTTTGCAGGGTTACCTGGTGACCGAAACCACAATAAAAGTTGATGAGCTGATTGTGGCATGTGGCAAGAATTGCCACAGTTGATTCTGTGATCAGGTTGTCGCTGATTTCAGCGGCCAGCGCATTGATGCATTTCAACTAAATTCCGTCAGAAATCTTCCAGCAACATTTGAGGGTTGACAGTGATCTCAGATTTTCAATCGTGCAGGGGGGCTGTCTGCCCCACAGAGGTGACAGCCCAACGAAGAGGCCTCTGTGAGGGCACTGATATGAGTTGAGGACGCTCGACTCACGTACCTGCACACGCGGCAAGCATTTACTGAGACGTGTGCAGCCAAGCTGACAAGAGCTACATTGCTGCGGAAACCTTTCCGTAGTTGCAATCTTGTGGCGCGACAAGATAGCAATCTTGTCGTTCGACCGGATAGACAGAGCGCAAACAGCGTCATTTTGTTACGTCAATCTTGTGGCTTGAGTGAATAGACAGAGTGGAAACCGCGCCATTTTGTTACAGCAATCCTGTGGCTCGACAGGATAGATAAAGCGGAAAACGACAAAGCCGAAAGAGCGCCATTTTGTTACAGCGCTTGGAATGAGGTTTTTGTCGATGAACCAAGTTGCGAGGGACTGTTTTGCAGTCTTTTCAAAGAACGAAGATTGGTGCACAGCAACCAGCCCTAGCGGCTAAACCTGTCTCTGAGTCAGTGCATTTGTGACACTCAGGGGAGGTTGCACGAGTGTGTGTGTGTGTGTGTGCGTGTATGTACTGTCATGATATCTCTGCACATTTAAATGATGCTACATAACAGGCGAGTGAGAAGACCACCGACAAAGACTAAGAAAGAACACACACACGCACACACACACACACACACACACAAACGCGTGTGCATGCGCGCACGCTCTCATGATGTTATGATGAACGTAACGACCACAACAAAGAGTTGCTAGGGCAATGCTACCAAGACTGCTCTGTTCGACGACGACGAGGAAGAGATTAGCACTGACACCAGCAGCAGCAGCAGTGGCAGCAGCTGTAGCAGCCGTAGCAGCTGTAGCTGCGGGAGTAGTAGTAGTCGTCGTAGTGAGAGTAGCAGTAGCAGTAGAAACGGTAGGAGTACTAGCACTAGCAGCAGCAGTAGCAACAGTAGGAGGAGGAGGAGGAGGAGGAGGAGCGGCAGTAGTGGCAGTAGCAGAAGCAGTGTAGTAGCAGTAGCACGTGCAGTATCATAGCAGTGGCAGCAGCAGCGGAGCAGCAGGAGCAGGAGCAAGAGCCCACCACGAACATTGCAACTGTTCCAAGCCGAAAGACAGTGCCTAATTTCTAAACATTTTGCAAAAGCCGCAAATCCGCAATCACGCTTCCCGCGCCTCTTCCATCAGCCGGGTCTGTCTCGCCCTCTTCGGCGCCGGTGGCGTGGCCGGCTCGTCGCGCATCTTAGATGCCTGGGTCGTTTGCTGACGGCAAGAGGTTGATGCACCCGCAAGAGTTCAGCATGAAGAACTAATCTACAAAGCCATGGATACGATCCAATGGGGAGACAAGATGCGACGGCCTGCAGCCTACGAACAGCTAGGTGCAGTTAGGTGCAAAGCCTCGCATCGTGGTGGAGTGCCCGGCGCAGCCTCATCCGGTGGGTGCAGGCTTCGTCTGAACCGGAGGCTGTTCCAGAACACGTATGCCAGCGCAGTTGCATGCATTCATGTATGCAGACAGAGAAGCAGGCAGACAGCCAGCCAGCCAGACAGACTCAGAGACACGAAATGAGACAGACAGAGACAGACAGACAGATGTGCATACATACGTGTGTACCTGAGTCAGTCGTTTGCAGCTTTTGCCAGCCTGCTACAACTGTCATGCCGATGGTGGCACTCGCCAGGGTCAATCAACGTCGTCGGGGTTGTCGTCGTGGCGCAGCTTTCAAATGCTCAAATTTCATGGCGCTGCTAGCTGATGTTCTGATCCCATGACCGCTCGTGTTTTCTTCCTGCTCCTATTCACCTTCATTGCCGATCTTGCTGCTATTGCATTGTGCGGCTGCGCAGTCTGCGTGATGCAACACATGCAGTACCATTCATCCTGATGTCTTCCGTTGGCAACAGACCACGACAGTACTATTCATCCTGATGTCCGTTGATCCGGATGATAACTGCCATGATGGTGACTAACAGTGACTAACATGACCACGAAGATGTCCATGCGAAGGCAATGATGACAATGGTAGAGATTGGCAGTGATGCTGCTTGCTGCTCATGTCATGTCCGATGTCTTCCAGGATCTTCGTTCCGATGTTGAAGACTCTCCTTGATTCGGTGGATGCTCGCAAAAACATTCCAAGTTTTGGTGCTCTCAGACCGTTGTCTTATCTTGCAGAACTCCACTACCCCCAGACCCTCAAGACCAGAAAAGCACCCGGCATCCCACTCGCGCCTCTTCCCGCTTCGTCTTTGCCGGCGTCGCCATCAAAAGCTCCACAGCTCTGTCCTGGGTACGGCTCAGAGTGTGGAGCTTGGGTGTTCCAGCAGCACAAAACAGCTAAGAAGTTTGACACTTGCGCAGCAACTGTGGTTCAGGAGTTTAGGATTTGTATCAAGTAGACACTAACCCGCAGCAGTCAACACGGGTAGCAAGTGTTCATGCATCTTGTTTTGTAGGAACGCAACCAAATACAAAAACAAGAAAAGTCGGGTGCTGCAAAGGGTGTTAAACCCTCAACTCCGTATCCTAAACTCTGAACTTCTGAACCCTGTACCCTGAATCCCAAACCATAAAGCTTGAATCAACCCTATGCCGAAAAGCCAGACACTCCGAGCCCGGTAGACTGGGAACAGCGCGCGCTTTCGCGGTGGCGTGCTTGGTGCTGGCAGTTCCCCAGCTTCCTTTCGGTTTGGGTTTAACGCTCAGGGTATCATCATGTTTCAGGGCTTTAGGGGCCAGCGGCTAGCGTTTACTGGTTTAGGATCTAGGGCTTACGGCTCCAGGGCTCAATCTTGACTGGGCTTGGGATTTGGAAGCCTCAAACGCCCAAACTGTCTTCCCCCCGTACATGGTCAACCTCTCCGTTGGCCCAGCAGATCTGCACTTTGCCAGAGCCGGAATGTAATCTTCACCTACCACACCACTAGCCAGAAGCGCAGAGTTCAGGGCTGTCTAAAGTAGGTTTCCGTGCAACGTGCCGACTGACCGTAACAGGAGTCGCTTCAAAAAGACCCCCCCAACAGCACTACTCCTCCCATGACTCGAAGGCCCTTGCAAAAACCCTGTCGAAAGAAGCATGGGTCTATCTAAGCACATGCACCATCTATGGATGTAGTGTGTATGTACGTAGTGTGTGTGTGTGTGTGTGTATGTACGTATGTATGTAGGTACATAGCCCGTATGTACGTATGTATGTACGTACGTGTGTACGTATGCACGTATGTGCGTATGTATGCATGTATGTGTATATTATATGTATAAGTATGTGTATATATACATATATATATATATATATGTGTATATATGTCTATGCATCCATGCATGCATGCATGCATGCATGCATGCATGCATGGGTGTATGTGCGCATCTGTGCATATGAAACAATAAACGTGATGTATGTGTATGTGTATGTATTATGTAGGCGTAGGTATATTTGTACGCATATATGCCATATATTCTTATATATATATAACCATTTACTTGCGGCTTGGTTAACTCACTGATTTAGGCATGTATGCTCTTTACATCGTTATCTGTAAGGGGTCACATCGGAATCTCTATTTGTACTAATATGAACTAGTTGTTCACATTTAAACTTCTAGAGCTGTTTGCACTTATTCTTTACATATGCATATGTCTGTCCGATTGTGTAGTTGTGCTTGTACTCATGTTTAGCTAGCACCGCATCAAAGTCTACATATAGGCGTAGATTCTCACTGATATATTTGTCGTTGTATTCATACTCAGGCTTATTTGCAGCCTGAGTTACACTTACAGCAAAACTTGCATGTATGTTTCCATGTATAGTAGATCAGTACATACTACGCTTACTACGCTGGAATATACGATACTAGATCATCCAGCATCAGGCCATGCCATGATGTAGCTATATGCTGACTGAATTTCACACCCTATCAAGCTTTTCGAAGAGAAATGCAATACATAGCATTTCATGACAGTACTTCAAAGTGAACTATGATGGATTATGTTACACTCCACTACATTACATTAGATTACGATAGGTACACTAGATTAAATTATGCATCGTTAGACTACATGAGATTTCATTGATGATTCACTTACGTATGTAGTACATGCATACATACATGCAGAATGCCTGAATTCATGCATGCGGGCACGTATGCATACATAAATCCGTAACATCCACCCATGCATGCATATGCATACATACATCCATTAATCCACCCATGCATGCATGCATGCATTCTTTCCTTTCTTACACTCTTCCTCCACCCCTTCATGCATACTGTGTAACCTTCTACACGTATCATATGCGGGATATGCGCATGCAACATGCTGCATGCATATACTTGGCAATATAATATGTGTATAAACATATACGGATGTGTATATGCACTTGAGTGAGTGTCCCCGTGGCCATTCCAGGAATACTTGACAGATTATCGGCTGTGATGCCGTGATATTATTACCGTCACCACGTTTTGCAGCGCCCAGCGTGCTGTTGATACTCACACTTGGGGGTCTGTGATTACCCAAGAAATAACCCTGGTATGATGAGTCAGCGTTTGGCCTTCTTCAACATAGGATACCCGGATATTCCGTACAGTACTTTGAAAGATTCCCAATCGATCGCAGAGCGGAGAAAGGGAATCCACGGAATCGCGCTTACGGTAACCTAAACGGGACCCACCTGCTCAACCCGGTGAAAGCCAGATCAGGGTCGGTCTGAGACAAGAAACCATTCGATCCCTAAACTCTTGATAATGCCTAAAATCCAAACCCTAATCCTAAAACTCAGGCCTCGAAGAAAGGAAGGATAGTCGCAAACGCTTTGGCTTCCGCCTGCGGAGGCAGTCACTCACGAGATTCCAAGACAATGCTCTAGCAATACGAACCTTCGAACATCCTGCGAGCAGTATCATACCGAACCGATCGGCATGCATAGTGAAGCGGTCTGGGGCATATGCGGAAGAATGGAACGACAACTCCTTCAAACAGCCATGACAGCCATGCCATATTGCAGCAGCCGAAGACTTTGAGCTGCAGCAAGTGCTGTACTGGAAACACGATGGCGATGTGGATCTCGGTACTCCTTAAGGGATACATAAACCTCACAATCGAAAGTAAGGTCTGCAGGACTCGACTGGACCTGAGCCCGCTTAAGGGAGAGCAAGACCGCGGATGCTGGATCTGCTACCTCACGGCCGGCGCGATCTGGTAGAGCGCTATGCGGAGAGGGGGGGGTGTTTTGAAAGGATGGTTTAAACGGTCGCGCAACCAATGGTATTATAGCGGTTCTTGACATTGGTTCCTTGTTGTCCTCGAGCTCAACCACGAAGCCGAAACCCGACTCTAAATCTGGCAAGAGCAGATGTCGCTTTGTGAAACAGTTCTGCCTCGTCTTGGAACTTGGCCCGGACCAATCCGTTGAGCAACACCTCGTCCTTCTCCAGAACCGCCTTGTTATGCAACATGCAACTCTTAAGACAAAAGCATGATAAACACCATGGACTGCAATCCAATATGTTATGATGCTGCATAGTTGGTTTAATATTACATAACCGGATAGAATAGACTAGCACAGAATAGGCTAGCACAGAAAACAAAATAATGAAATAACATGGAATACAGCAACTCAGCAGAGCATGAAATAATAGAACATAGTCTCGCATGATGTAAAAGTAGAATACAATAACATACAGCATAATGTATGTAGTGTGCTACAACACATTATAGAACAACAAGAAAAGCACAAGCTAAAGGCATAAGGACATAATGCTGCTATCGACCACAATACAAGATAATGCATGATAGTACGACGCAAGGCAATACAATCGAATGCAATGCAATGCCATGCAACCTCACATAACTTCGTATGATGCAACATAGCCTGACATCACCCCTTAGAATCCGTTGCAAAGAAAACAAGTCCATGTGCTTGGGACAGATTTCGAAAACCGGACTTCTGTAAGGCACGGGCTGCGGTAAGATTCTTGACCTCGGCAGACACTTCGGATCGTAAGCTGCGCTGAACCCAAGAGTCTCCCAACCCCCTCAACTGAGAAATATATACATATGTATATATATATATATATACACGCATAAGAATGTATGCAAACATCTTGCATATGCATACATACATATATATATATATACATATCTATTGTTCAGGAGCCTTGTATAACTTAAGCTCACTGGTCAATCCAAATGGCTTGTAAGGTTTGAGGTTTAGCTGCAGAAAAGATGGGTTCATGTTAGGGAATTGTACTTCAGTTATCATCGTAGAGAAAAGATACTGCATCCCCCTAAACCTTAAACCCTCTACTCCTAAAGGAACCCTTATGGATCCCTTGAACGAGCCCGTATAGATCCCTTAAAGAAACCCGTGCAGATCCCTTAAAGGAACCCTTATCGATCCCTTAAGGGAAACTTTATAGAGCCCTTGAAGGAGCCCTTTATGGACTTATAGATCCTTCATTATGGTATAACTTGAATTCCACTCCTCAGCAAAAGCCCACGAAGGAGCGAAAACCGATCCTGGGCGCGAGTACGAGTTGGAGGCATCGTCGCTCGTGGATGAGGTTCAGCGCCTTTAGTGTTTAGGGAGTAGGATTTAAGGTTTAGGATCTATAAGGTTTAGGGGGTAGGATTTAGGGCTTGGGGTTTAGGATTTAAGGTTTAGGATGTAAATCGGATTAGGGGTGTAGAATGTAGAACATGACGAGGGTTAAGGCGTCTATAAAGGTACCAAGAAGGCTCTGCAAGCGTATACCTAAAAGCACTTTTTAGGGGAAGTCCATGGTTTGCAGGTTCTAAGTCTTAACAAAGGCTATGAAGCGGCTTAGGGATTCGGGTTTGGGGCTTAGGTTCTGGGAAAATGCGCGATCCAGGATTCTGAACCCCAAAAATGGGGGAAGCTGACCCTACAACGAGACCTGGCAGCTGGCTCGCACACGTCGCTTCAGAGTCTGCTTCGCAGATTTAGAGTTGCAGCCCCAAATCGCAGTGCAGAGTACGATATCTGTAAAGAAAGCTTAAGGGGTGTGGGACCCACTGAGGGCTTCGGAGGTTGAAGGATATAGGGCTCCAGGACCTGGCCTCAGATCTCCAAACTAGAAAACAGACTGGCACACAGACACAAAGTGCTGCAATCTACTAGCATCGACTTCAAGCTTGTAGTCTGGGGCTTACAAGACGCTACGTGGCCATGTATGCATGCATGCATGCGTGTATGAATGCAGGTCTCTTTGTCTGCTTGTCTTTGTCTGAATGTAATGCTTGTATGTATGTATGGATGCACGCAAGTACGTATGTATGCATGTAAGTATGTATATGAAAGTATGGAAATAGGATGCATGAATATACATATATATATATAATATGTAAGTACACATACACGTTCATTTGTATGAGGGCTTCAGGCTTGGTGACCGTAGGCAGCAAGATTGAAGCGGGGATTTGGCATTTGGCGGGCAAAGGGTTTTGTCGTCTCTGCAACCAGTCTAGCTCCAGTGGTCTATCTACTATAACATGCTCCGGCACAGTGAAATTTACCGCGCTGTGATGTAGCTGGCTGCGGATAGAATATTGTGGGAAATAGACATTAAACACTCAGAACCCAAACATCTTGAATGCGCCGTCTGCATCCATCCATTTCATACAATAGACCATAGCATCGTCCGCTGCATTATACCAGTAACCAGTGTGACCTTATAGTACGTTTATACACGGCAGTACAGCAGTAACATCTCGCGACATTCGACCGACGAAATTCGCTGACATACAATAAAACGTTGTGTTCAAACCCTGATAATTTGAACCTGGGATCCCGACCTGTGCATGATGGTTCCAGGCGAGCTTCCCACCCGGGAAAGGGGCGGCGCCGTAGACGACCTCTTCAAGCAGGACTGCACCAACTAGAGAAGCTATGCCAGCTATGTACGGGCAGAAGCAGCCACAAGCAAGAAGACCGCAGAGAGGTCGTGACGGTGCCGGGGCTGGCCGTGATGCCAACAGTGACACTGCAGATGATGGTAAACAGTCATAATGATGAAGAAAAGACGATGACCATGATTGTTAGGAGAAGAACAACTATGGTGATGCCGATGATGATGATGAGGATGATGATGAGGGGAAGGATGAGAAAGGTGGCGACGGTGGTGGCGAGGGTGGTGATGATGATGGTGATGATGACGATGATGCTGCTGATGAAGATGATGGTGATACAGAGGCTGAGGCTGCTCTTTCTGTCAGCCCTGTTTTGACCAATGGTGCTGTTGATATCAGTGGATGATGTCGCCTGGCTGTCTGTCAGCGGTCATACAGCTACTCCTTCTACTGTTATGTTCTCCTTGTCGGTAGTCTGAGGACTGTTACTACTGCTGTGGTTGCCACTGGCCCCACTTTTGCCAAGCTGCTGCGGCTTGCCGAGAACAGAGTACTGTCAACGCACACCTTTTGAACAACTTGTCATCATGATACTTCTTTGCCTTGCTGTGGCTGGCCTCCTTTTGCTCTCATTTCGACACTTCTTGTGGGCTTTGTTCACGAGCTTGGGTTGAAGCTGTGATTTGGGAGTTCCAGACATAAGCAATGAAACATAGCAGAATGGTAAATAATGCTCAAAGGAATAATAGATGACAGGAATGTAGGGACTGAAATCAATCCTCAACTACAGGTTCCTTTCTATCAGCTCTCCTGCATACGGGACCCCTTTTCTCAAAAACAATAGGGTAGGACCCAGAGTAGGATCAGCTTCTCGGGTGCACTTAGCGGCCTACGAGCCCTGACGCACCACCGCATAAAGATGAGATTCCCAAACTAGCATGGGCCGGAAATCCAATTCAGTATACCAGGTCTCGATTTCAACAGCCCCAAAAATTATTCATAGAAGGGGCTCTTGATTAAGCAATAAGAGAAAAATCCGAAAGCGCTACCCAATATAGGGGGCCGAAATCTACAAACAACAATCTGCTCTTGACCAGGCTATAATTGGGCTTGCTAGTTTGTGCAGCTGCAACCTTCCTTTCCGCCACCCGATGCAGCCTTCTCGGTGCTGAAAAGACCTAGGCTGGGTTGACGGTCTCGAATCCAATTGGGAGTTTAGGGTTTCCGGGGGTACGCGATTCCACGGCTTAGGGCCTGGAGCTTGATGTTGGATGCTGACGGCTCAAACACCAGAACTGGAAGCTCCAAACCAAAACCTGATCCCCGAAACCCTCGTACCTTAAAACCCTAGACCCCGATAAAGAAACCCAAAACCTGAGGGCGCGACGGACCATGCTGATGTGCGACAGGAGGCGGCACGCGAAAGCACTCGTTGCTGTCTGAACTGGGGAGCCACACGGTGGCGAAGCACAGAACAAAATCCAGAAGACCCCGCAAATACCGACACTTTGGGGCAGCCATACAAGAATTTCGCACAAAAATTGTATGTTGCTGCAAGCCCCTGTAGAGAAGGGAAGGGCTAGAGACTGGATTCTTCAAGGGGGGGTCTTCGAGTCTCGGGTCTAAATATGAGAGATCAGGATTGTGGGAGTCCAGACTTTGGCAGTTGAGGTTCAGGCTTGGGTTTAGGAGCCTGAGGTTTTTTTGGGAGGCGCAAGGGGTTTCAAAAGTTTAGAGTCGTGGAATTTGTATGAGACCCCCAGCCATGACATAGCAAAAAGAAGACGCGTCCAGACACAGCAAGTTTCTTCATGCGCTCTTCATGCTTCTAGCTGCCAGAGAGTCTGCGACCTAAATGCCGCGGTGCCGGACATACCAACGCTTGTCGGCGAATTGCAACAGCAGGATCAGAGAACACTACATACTATCAAAATTCTACTACTCCTCTGGTCCCCTTGCCGTTCTTTAAACGTCTGGGAGCCACTTGCTGGGCTCGTCATGCGACAATTCGAATTCCGTGCCCACGTCTTCAAAGTGCTCCGTGGCTTCAGCCCTGGGTTCTCGGTACGGGCTGAACTTAGGGTTTTGGTCGTTTTGGGTTCGGGCGCTAAGGGGTTTTGGGTTTAGGTTTTAGGGTTCAGATGGGTTTAGGCGTTCTTCCGCCATCCTTGCTACCCTATGCTATCAAAGACTATCCACAAAGAGCCACAAGGTAGATTCCCCCTTTGGCTCGGCTGCCCTTACAAGGAGGTGTATTCCCAGTGTCCCTCCCCAAACATCTCCTTGGACTCCCAGACCCTCAAAAGCAGAAGCATGTCTCTGCAGCCTCGGGTGTTCAGTTCAAGGATGATTGTTGAGTTGTGAAGAACTTGTCTCTTGCTTTAGGCTGTAGTATTCGGGGTGTGGGGTTTGGAATTTGAGGGATTAGGATGATTGCTTTAAATCTCCAGGTCGTTGAGCTGTACAGTTTCGGGCTTTAAGGCTGAGGGCTGCAAAGCCGGTTCCACCGCGGAGAGCGGGACACCATGTGCCCATCAAGCTCAAAACTGAACTCACAGGTGGTAGCTTCGGCAAAGGCAAGTTTTCGAGGTCGAAAATAATCTCAAAACAGAACCTTCATGTTGAAATAAAAAAAACTTAGCTGCACGGTGCTTCTGTTCAGGACCCGATTGTTGTCTTTGCCGAGCTCGCACGCTGTGGCAGACAGCTACCTCCAAACCATGACCACAGACACAAACAAAGCTGTTGCCTAGTTTCAGGGTTTAGGGTTTGGGGCCCAAGATTCGGAGCTTTAGGGTTGAAGGCTTTCTATTCTTCCTTTCGCTGTCTCTTTGTGTGGTGAGGGCTGAGGGGCTGCAAAACGTCGGGCCTTGGAGCTCGGGATGATCGCGGTTAACGGGCGTCTTGGTGAGCTTTACAGTGCAAAGGGCTCCAGGTTCCTTCAAAGAGTTACGGCAAGGGTTCTGATATAGGGGCTTTATTGATCAGGCTAGGGTTTGGGACATGTTGCAGCATGAAATAATCTTGCTGGAAAGCCCTGAGAAAATGCTCAAACCCCTGTAGTGACTGGGAAGATGACGTCCCCTGAATGTTGGTTTTGCTCTGAATTAGGGTCCCTTTCTCAGGTCACAAAATAGTATGGAACCCTTCTATGCAAAGGACCCCGATTAGCCACGATCTGCTCTGGCGGGGAGCTGTGGATGACAGTCTTGCCAGTTTTTAGGGCTTGGAGGGTTCAAAGTGGGCCTAGGCCTTAGCGATGAGGGTTTAGAGTGTTTAAGATTTACGAAGAATACAATATGATATAGCATAATACTAATAGAACAAAAGTTAATGTCATAAAACAATATCATATTTTCGCTTTGGTTTCGGGTCTAGGAGTTGTGGGGCCTACGCCTCCTCCTGTCATGGGATGGTCTGAACAAGCGCGAATCAGCACTCGGGCGGCTGCGCCAAGAAAGGCTCGTACGGCACATCTCATAGAGGGACTGTTCTCAAGAGGGTCTGCCGCGTATTGGTAGGGTTTAGGACTTAAGGTTGAAGTCAGTCCTAGCTGAGACCTGATTTCGAACAGCCCCACGGAGACAAGATAGTTCGAATAAAAATGATCGGGGCAATCTGTAAATCCGCGCAAAAGTGCAGTCGATGCTGCGAACTCCCAAAGATGCTTTGGTTTTTAGGACTCACAACCCTGAACCCCGGACGGGCACAAGCACCGCCCCTTGCAGTCTGCAGGCTGGGATCCGACTCTCTGCTCACAAAGAGCGATACTTGCGTATACATCGACTCACACAGCTGGTCAGCTCTCTACCCATGTGTATACCCAGGCAGTTTATCTGCGTCTTTCATACTTGTTTCTGCTGTTCTCAATTTACTTGCATATCTGCTTATTTGTGCACATGTTTATTTGGTTACGTATTATTCGTCAATCATCAAAGATACTGACGACCACTCCTGCTTGCAGATGGCCCCTTGCCACTACAAGAATGGCACGCTCACACCAGGCCTCACGCACAGCTCGGGTGAGCGGGTCAAGAACCCCGGCCCTGCCCCAACGCCCCTAAATCCCTGTAAGCCACCGCACCTCCATTTTGGAGGAGGCAAGCAAAAGGATGTATAAAGACTAAACCTTTGGGGGCTGGGGTCAGCTACTGGGTACTGGCATCTCTGACACCCAACACCACGAAGCCCCAAACCCTGCATCCCAACCTCTGAAGGTTTCGGGCCTATCGGGGGTCCTAAAGGACAGGCCTTTGACGTCCAAGAGGCGATCCAAAAAGGGGTGTGGGCTTAGGCTGTGCAAAGCTTCCAGGGTGAGCCCTGAGCGCCAAACCCTAGCAGCTGTAAGATTCGAGGGAGGGCTTAAGCTTTAGTGTTAATTAAGAGTTTGGGGTTTAGGGTTCAGGTTTAAGGTTACGGGCTTAGGGTTTAACAGGTGCAGACTTGAAGTGCAGGAATGTCCGAAGCTCAATTGCGCGCGGCCTTACTGCGGAGCTGCTGCAACGATGTCCGCTGAGCAGCCCGATTCAAACTTCTTGAAGTTGTCCTCATTTCAAGTTACCATAGTAGGGATCTATAGTAAATAATATGGTTTCCTCCCTGTGGTAATCATGTAGGAGCCAGGGCACAGGAGTTCCAAGGTCTGCCGGTTTAGGGTTCAGAAGTCTACGGGTTCAGGGTTTTCGGTGCTTTGCTAGGGTTGAGGGGTTCAGGGTTTAGAGTTATGTAGGACTGACACGAATGTAACGGTCTGAAGCATTATAGTAGTAATGTCGTGGTCGTAGGACGTTTGCCTTGGGCCATGGCATATGGTTTATAGGAGCACATTATGCCTCGCTTTCCCGAGTCATTCGTGCGGAGATCCGCAAGCCTTGCAAGCTTGGGCAAACTACACATCATGATAGTATCGCTTGAATAACAGCATTAGTCCATCACCCTTGTCATTGTCAGCATGATGATTCTCGTGGTGGGTATGACTGGTTCCAGGATCACTGTCATTGCTGTTGTCGCTGGTACTACCATGCATATCACAACTGCATAGCTGCTGTTGCTGCACGCATTGCTACTACTTATTGCGCCACTCGCGCAGGCTTCTTTACCATTCTGAACTCTCCAACAGCGGTTGAGGGCTGCTTTCGAACTTGTACTTCGAAGAGCTTGAGGGTCTGACGATCTAGCTAGCACCATGAAGCTCAAAACCTGAACTCTACAGCCCAGAACCTCGCAACATCAACCACAACCTCAAGTTCGAAGGTTAATGGGTTCATTGGTGTAAGACCTTTGAGGCCCAGGGCTTAGGGATGTCAAGCTTTTCGTTGAAGGCTGTGGCCTTGAAGAGCTGCGCCAATCTCAGCGAGGCGCTGTTGAACTCGTCCTTCCAGTCTTCCCAAGCCACTACGATCACGTCTACCATCCCCAATACCACCATTGTAATGAACACCACATCGTCATGATCACCATCATCGCCATCGTCATCATCATGCTCATCATCACATCAATACAATATGCCATGATCAGTCTGAAACACGTCGGCCTTGAAGCCCCTATTAGACGCCAAGCAGCCCAGGTGGGATGCTTGCAATGAAGAGCAGTCGCAGGTAAAGTACAAGTGGCAGATTGCGTAGGGTGACGAGGCGTGGAACGACGAACAGGAGCAGCAGCAGCAGCGGTAGCAGTGGCAGCAGCTGCAATGCGGCGGCGGCAGTGAAGCAGCAGCAACAGCAGTCGCGGTGTTGTCTTCAACATCTTGATTCTAAGCATCACCATGACCGCCGTCACTGTTGGCATGATCAGCAACAGCAACGGCCGATCCATTCTCAAGCGTCTGTGAGCCTGGTTCGACCAGGTCTTGTTCGGCATCAGCATCTTCGCATCCACATTCGGGCACGACTTTGGCACCTCCGACGAGCACTTGAAGAAAACCAGGCTAGAGCTGCTGTTCACGCGGGGTTCAGGCTTTGGGCACCGTGACATACCGTGTCACAAAGTAGAACTGAGAGCAATGATGAGCAATGCGAAGGAATCTTCCTGCAAGGTGTCCAATGTGTTTTGACAGACTGTGAGCCAAGCAAAGCCAAGCCCTATGCATCTTAAAGAACTGATACAGGCTTCTCGTCTTCTTCTTTGCACAGCCATCCACACGAGAGCCTGGAGGTTGAATCGCGGAAAGTTCTCATACCTCGCGCCACACTTCGGATCTTGTTTCGTTCTAACCACGGGTGGCGAAGGTCAGTTCACACTGCTCGTAGCGGGATGCCGAAAGCCTACACCCAAGAGCCTCAACCCCAACTCCGAAATACATCCTACCCTAGCCCCTAAACCAAAAGGAACAGAAAACACCTCAAAAACAGGCGCCGAGGATCTCAGCTTTGGCCAAGTCCCCCGTGTGGATGGCGTCAATGATGGCACGGGTGTCCTGTTTCGAGGCATGGGGCGGCGGCTCAGGGGTTTAGGGTGTAGGGGTTTAAGGTTGGGGGCTAGTTTCGGGACTCAAGGGTTTAGGGCTAGGTCTTGAAAGCCCTGTGAAACCGTGAAACCCTGAACTGTCTCGAAGATCAAGGGCTTTACAAACCTTCAAGCCCAGCCATTCTCGCCATTCCGTGGTAATGTCTAAGAGGCCAAGACGACAGTAATCCAAAAAACTGTGTAAAGTTTAAGGTCTCCTTGAAAAGTTGGATGGCAAAAAACATGGACACCCAAGCCACAAAAAGTGCCTAACACTTGAGCCAAGAATCCTTGAGGCTCATGCGATGTCCCTGGCCGAAGCCGCCACCGGTCCATCCCGTGTTGATGAGCCAGGCCTAGCAACTGGGGGACCCGGGGCTTCCCGAATTTTGGGGCTTTTGGGCTTCAGGTTCAGGGTTTCGGCTTTAGGGTTTAGAGTGCCCAAGACCCTCAGGGCCTCTGGGATTTAGAGCTGTTGAACTTTAGAGGTTCTAGGGTTTAAATATTGGGGATTAAGCTGCTTCGCGTGATTGAAGCCTTAGGTTTCATTTTGAAGTCGGAACGCCTGAAAGGCTGAGGCAGTGGGAGAGGGACAGTTAGTTGGCCGCAGGATTTGCTGTCTTGTGGGTCAGTGAATACTATGCAAGGGCACGCAGGCTCCCTGTAAGCAAGTTGTGGCTTGGAGCTTAGGGCTTATGGATCAGGGGAACTGCTGAACTGCTACCCTGCCCCCTGCAATCACCCCAAAATCTAGGCCACATCAATCCGCCTTACATCAAGAACCCTACCATGAATCCAAAAGAATTGGCATTCTTGATGTGTGAAGGGTGCCTGAACCCGGGCGGGCTTATGTAAGGCCCCCACATTCACGTTGTGCTTGGACATGTTGTCAGCCAGGAGCTCGGCGTACTTTGCTGGATGCCAGACCTGCCGAAAGAGGAAGTTCTTTTCGGTTTAGTATATAGCATAAATATAGAGCATATAGCATATATCCAATATTGATGTATGAAATACAACAGTATATATGTATATACAATAAATAAATATTTCGTGCATATATACACACATATATCTGATACAGTATATAATCTATAATATTAGGGTGTAGGGATCAGGGTTCGGGCTCTGGGTGTGGAGCCTAAGTCGATCGATCGCATGGCTCTTTTGGGTTGTATGGCAGACTGCGGACAACAGCGACTTCTTGGGGGAAGGTTCAAGGCAAAGGTGAGTTTTTTACAAGAAGCCGTATTCAATTCCTTAACCCTTGGACCAAAAACCCTCACTAAGGTTTTAGTTGGGGCTTCGGCTGTTGGTGTCAGAATGTGTCAGCTCTTAGGCCGTTGGCTTGGAGTCTCATAGCCCAAGCTTCGACGACACCGAAGCTTCAAAACCCTCAACCCCTAAACCCCTTAAACTTCGAACCTAAGTGGAGTATCAACCCTAAAACACTGCACCCCCAAAAACCGTGAATTCCCGCTAAAGCAGCCCCGAAACATCACAGCGTGTTGCTTTAGGCTTCCCCCCCGGGGCTCCCAGCCATAAATGGTGCGCCGAAGCAGGCGGAGAAGGTTGCCTAATCACGACAGAAGCAATATAGTAAGCATGATAATCGCAGTCACCATGATACCTTTACCCGTGAACATCAACAGGGTCGCACACAATCGTGATCATCATCGTCATCATCGTGATCATCATCGTCACCGTCAGGGTCATCCTCATCATGATCACCGCCATAATCGTCATCATCACCATCATTATCATCATCATTTGGATAATTCTGTAAATAGTGGGAAGAGGAAGAAGAAATAGGATAAGAAGAAGCGACGGCAAGCTTCGGGTTTCGGGGTGGGCGTTCAGTTTGGGGTCGGTGGGCCAATGATTGTGCAGTGAGACAGACTTGTCGTGTGGATACCATTACGAACGGAAAGAGCGTCGCTTCAAGACGCAGGGTTTCAACGGGTTCGTATTTAGGGCTGAGACGTTGAGGTTACCCTAAAACCGATATAGGGGCCTTCATAATTAGAAAAGGGCTTTGGGGCCCATTATACTATAATTGTAATAAAGAACGCCCCAGAATCGTGTAGGTTCTTATTACGGCCCCTATATCAAACCCACAGACTCAAACCCGAGAGTGAGTACAGGGGGACTTCGAAGAGTTTAAGTTGGGCTTTCGGGCGTTTTGCCCGACCTCTGCTATTTGACTAGTACCGTTCAAGGTCTGGGTTTCGGGCTTACGTAGGGTTCAGAGTTTGGGAGTTCGGGTTGACGGTTGATATCTCCCGCTTTTGGTGCTTGAGGCTTTGATGTAAGGGGTTCAAGGGGCTGAAGAAATGCAGCCTTGCCGCCGTCGGCTCTGTGACGCCCATCTCGGTGCCTGCCACCTTCACAGGAAAGCAGCTTCCGAGTCTCACTTGCAGGTACGTGACGCAGCAAGGGACTTAGCTCCGTAAGCATCTTTCAAACGCAATCAACACGGTTGATGGTATAAATCCTGCAGTACCCATCATGAGGAATATACCATAATTCCCGTAGTTTAGGGTCCTTAAGGTAGTGCAGGATTTATATTATCAACCGAAGTACCTTACTTAGGGTCATCCTACCTGTAGCTCTTAGCTCTTCTTCTTGCCTTCTTGCTCGGTCCTTCATCGCTTAAAAGGAAGACAGGAAGGTCCCTCCCGGCGCCTTGGCGGTGTAGCCGGAGATGAAGTGGTACATAGCCTGGTTTGGAGTTTATGGGCTTAGGGTTGAGGGTTTGGGGTAGGAGCAGTTTGAATGCTATAGTATACCCCCAGACCCTGTTCGAAAGATTAAGGCCGCTATGAAAAAAGTAAGTCACCGTGCAGCCCTGTATAGTTGGATCGCTATAGTATACACCCAGATCCTATTCGTAAAAGTAAGGCTGCTGACGGACTAAGCTTGGACTCGAACGATCCACAACCCAAGAAAACGGCAGGAGCAGTTTTTGGAAACACAACGAGTCGGGCCTTTGCCCAAACAATAGGGTCCATATTATGATAAGGAGCCGTAGAAACGTTCCCAAGTCTCCAGACACCCTAAAAAGTCCTCTTGCAAACCCTACACCTAAACCTTACTAGAAAGCACAGAATTCTTGAAAACCCTCAAACCCCCCTCCTCCTCAAGAAAAACAACAAAGTCTTAAACCCTGAAAAGGCTCCGCGGGCCTGTGCCGGTGTCAGCTTCGACACGGGTGGGAGGACACCGAAGGCGTCACAGGTCCTTGCAGCATAGGGTTGAGGCGTTCAGGGTGTTGGGCTTTTAGTGTAAGGTCTGGAGTTTGGGCGTAGGGTTCAGAGTTTCGGGTGTAGGGTTTGCGGCTTACGATGCAGGCCATTTAGGGTTGAAGCTCAAACATGCAAGCTTTGCACTCGTCTTGATGCCCTTCCTTGACCAACCCAACCGGAGAACTGCCTTTAAGTAGCTATGCAGGTTGCGACATGGCTGGGGAATCTAAGCAATACAACAAGGAGAGAAGAGGAAGAAGTGCTTGGGTCCGGCGGGTGTGTGTGTGTGTCCTTCGGGCTCAGGGCGGAGCACCGCTATATCAGAATAAGAAGTATGGTTGGGATGAATACTCTTGATATTATGAAAACACACATAAACAGGCTGGCTCCAAAGGAGTTTGACAAAACCCTGATGCTTGAGAATCCGGTGTCAACGACCGAAACCCTGCTTGGGTCGGGAGGCAGCATGATGATGTTCTTCGGGTGGCCACCAACGGCAGGAATCTTCACCTCGCTTTCAAGTCTTTCCAGATCGACGCAAAGAGTGAATGTGTCAGATTGGGGCTCGGGACTTTGGGTTCGATTCTACCGGTCGCCACATGCAAACCTCTACTTGATGGAGTCGATCTTGAAGGGCCGGGTAAGGAAGCTTGGGGTTCAAACGGGCCATGTTTACATCTCGAGCTTCGGCCTGCAAACGACGAAGCTCCGCGACTTTCGCAAAGTTTCCTGCAATCTCCCGAAAAGCAGGGTTCGACAGCATGAGCAGCGAAGGAGGAGTAGTAGCGGTGGTGGCAGATGGACTTCGTTGCTTTGACATCGTTGTCGGTGCAGCCAGGAGGCATTGGGTATGTACTCGAGCGGATAGGAGACCTGGATGAAGAAGGCGTGTGTCGAACACGTGGCATACCCATGAATCGTCTCAAAGCCAGGGGTGTGGGCCTTCAATGCCTGTAGTTTGAAGAATGTTTAGGGAAGAAGGCTTATGGCTTCGGTGTGGGATGGGAGGGCTGTAGGGTGGGGCTAAGCATTGACGTTTGGAAACAGTTCCGAAGCTGAGCGGAGCTCCGAATTCGACGACACCAACAAAGAATAGTGTTAGCAATAAGCAAAACAACTGCAGTTTTTCTGATAGCAATAGTCATACAGAAAACGATAACGAGAATCACTGAAATACTAAGACTAATGATTCTTGTTGTTGGGAATATTGCGCGGAGAAGAATTGAAGAGGACAATGACACCGAGTTAGGAGTTTGGAGCTCCGATCGCCGAAAGTCTCGGGTCTATTGCTTCAGGTTCAGGGTCTAGGGTTTGTGGTTAGGGAGTTAGCGTCGTTCACAGGGCAGCTTTGCCAGGGGGCTCTCGTGTTCTCCGTGATGCTACCATCCTCGTAGTCCACCTCACCTGCTACCAGGGTTTCGCAGACCCGCTCGGGTTTAGGGTTTAGGGCTAGACTAGGGTTTGGTTTGGGGCCGTGGTTTGAAGTCTGGGCCTTGGGGGCGTTCGAACCTGGGTTTGGTGAAGTCTTCAAACATGCTCGACAAGGTCTTCGGTTTGAGCTGCGGAACTTCCAAACGCGTGTATCCCTGAACCCCACACTTTATGGCCTAAGGGAGGCTTCTCCCGTCGGACCTGCCCTCTCGCCCTCCTGTCTTGCTTCTTGGACGAACATCAAAACCATCCGATGCTGATGAGAGGTCTTCCTGAACCTCACATCCTCCTTCCAGACGCACATGCTCACATGCGTCGTAGAACCACTGCAAGAAACGGGTCACCTCCAATTCGACAGCCATCTACCCTCCGCAGAAATCATGAATCCACCCTAGCAGGCACAACTTCTTTGACCCCCCCTCCTGTGCGGGTATCGAAGACCACGTTCTCCAGAAGCGCGCCAAAACCTAAACAAAAAGTCCAGAACTTGGGGTTTAAGGTTTAGAGCTAGGGATCACTGGTTCGGGGTTTAAGATTCAGGGTTTAGGACCTAATGTATGAGTATTCTGATTCTGACGGGGGCCCTCAGGGTATGGTCGTCCGTATAAAGTATCCCCTTTCAAAGCCCTCACCTATACCCTAAACCTCAAACCCCCAAGACCCCAAACCCACCTCGGAGCTTACCTGAAACCCGTCGACGCTCCGATTCAAGAAGCGTCTTGCTCGACTGTCCAGTCCAGTGGGCGGGTGCAAGAAAGCATCTTCTCATGTCGGAGCTGTGGAGCTGCGTCAGTTCCAACCCTGTCATGTGAGCAGACCTCAACCCTAAACCATCGACCGCGGTGTCGCACAAGCCACCGAAAAGGAATACGTCTGGTCTTTCAAAGCCTTGCCTTGAAGCCCATCCTCTCTTGCTGTACCGGGGGCGCTGGTTTGCAAGTTTAGGCTTTTCAGGCAGCGGACCTCCAAATCTTGCAACATTCTGTTGAAAGAAGGGATAGAACGAACACAGTCTCAACTCGGGCTAAGTCCCGACCAGGGATGCTGCGGCTGACTTCCCTCCATGACTCCATGACGGATGGAAGAACAGCGTTTACAAAAGATCGCAGAACAGCCCAGTGGCGAATCGCATCCCAGATCTCGGGCTCCTCAGTGCAAATGGAATTGATGCTTTTGGGGTTGAGGGGTTTGTAGGGATCGCGGCCTTTGTGGGTTCATGGTTTTGAGGTGTAGGGATCTGGGGTTTAGGGGGGGTTCTGCAGCGAGTCTGCGATTTTCCACTTGCAAAGCCACCTTTGAACCAGGCTTGTGGCCTCGAACCCGGGCACTGCAAAGCTCTTTGCGGTCTCGGATGGCCGAGCCACTTTGCAGGGCCCATGTTGCGGCCAAGACGGTACTTACTTACTCTGAAATGTCTCTAAGTCTGAAACCCTAAATCCCGAAAATGCCCGAAACCCTAAAACCCCCGAGTCTCCCTTATTTGGGGGATCACGGGAGTTGGTAAGCAGGGATATACGGCACGTTTACTAGGATTATAAGCATACATACCTTACATGTAAGCCGAGTTGCTAAGTCCCATGATCCTTCAAGTACTCTATCAAGGTATCTATCTTGTGGACGACGGCGCCGCTTCTTGTGCAGCCAGGTTTCCTTCTCTCGGGTAAGGCCGATTGCCTGCAAGGGATGGGCAAGCTGGACTAACGCACACAAGAAGCAGATGCACCCTCATTACTAGATCATTGTTGGGATAGGATTAAAAATGTACATTTTTATTCCTTATTGGGTTTAAGTACCCATAAAAATGTAAAATGTTACCCAACTATGACAAAGATTACAAAGTGTTGAAAGCAAGCATGACGAAGCCATTCGGCCTGAGGCCTCAGAGTTGGGACCTCAAGGCTCAGATTTAGACACTGAGGGTTTAGGGTTCTGGGCCTTTTAGTCCCCGGTCAAGAACTTCACTATATGGGGGTTTCCGAATAAAGGGGGCCCTAATATAGTACCCTAAATAGCAGGATATTTTTTGGGCCCCAAAATAAGGAACCCCTAATTTTCGGCAACTCCCATCAAAGGGAGTTCAAGCCTCATGATTTAGTGTTGAGTGTTCGCAGGATATCTCCTGCATCTAGCTGCTGGACACTCACTCGTGCAAATTCCAAGCCGCACTAGTTCGGAATTCCCGCACAGCCTTCGCGTAGCACCCGCCCTCGATGTTGAAGATCTCGGCTGGCTTATTTTCATGGTCGGGTGAAGTGTGGGCGTCTAATTATGCCTTGTTCAGTTCTTGAAACTACAAATATACATGTTCACTGTGTATCTGAGACAGCATGGTTCGAAGCTAAATATGTACACGTTCACTGTGTATCTGAGACAGCATGATTCGCTGAACAAGCTCTACTAGAGAGGTAGATACTTCGTTTCCTGAGATCATCTTGGCCGACTTCTTTGGGATCACGAACAGTCCGAAAACGAGTATATCAAGACACAACGGAACTCTAAAATCGCTAATTATTTCCTTTTCAGGCTTACGACTTAAGGCTCAGGGACTTCGCCAAGACCCCGGCACCCTTATCGGTCCAGGCGTGCTCATCGTCGCCGATGAGGAGCCGGTTTTCATCCGCAGATCTTGGAGGAGGCACGGTGTAGGGTTTAGGGAACCCGGAACCCCTATCTGGAGGCTTAGGGCTTAGGGCTTCGCAAGTTGAGGGTTGGGGATTTCAGTTGAAGTTCAAACTCAGCTTGCAGGGGTTGGGCTTTGTTTTGGGTTTAGGCCTAGGGATTGTGCTTAAGAGCGTGTTGAGCTCTGCAGACGTGTACAGCGTAAGGATCATGAGCGTCAGTTATGAAAAAACAGGTGCCAGTACCTGTAGGTGAGCATGGCACTGCATAGCATCAGACGTTGGAGTTTAGATCGTTCATGGTAGATACAAGCAGGTACATCTACATAGAAACAAACAAGACCGTGCACATAAACATATACCTGCATGCATGCATGCATACATACAGACACATACATACACGTACATACACATACACATACACATACACACACACACACCTATACAGATACATGCACAGACATACGCATACATGCACATAAATACACATAATACTCACACACACACATGCACACATCCATCCATGCATACTTCCATACATGCATACCTCCATACATGCATGCATGCATGCATACATACATACATGCAAACCTACATGCCTACGTACATGCGTACATACTTAAAAACACACAGTATCTACACATACATATACATTTACATCAATGAACACACCTGCATATATGTATATACATACATATATGTATATATATATATATATATATATACATACATACATTCCGGTTTACATACATGTCTATATACACAGGTACATCTGCATAAACATGTACAATACACATACATACATCCTGCATCCTGCAGGCATGCATGCAAAGGTACAATTGTTCATGGTGACGCGTGGTACGTGTAAACACACATATTCTTCACATACACACACGGGTGTGTGTGTGTGTGTGCATTATGTACATATACATATATCAACACACACACACACACACACACACACACACACACGGGCAGCATACACCCCTGGATTGAATTTTATCTATCTGTCTCTCGTCCCTACACTCACGAGACAGGAGGCGATAAGAGCATCATGGGAGGTGGCCACTACTCGGCGCCCAACAACTCGGACCCAACCCTCAAACTCCCGAATGTTCACAAGGCCTCAGCCCTGAACCTGAAGGAACAGGATAAGCACCCGAAGCACACAAATTCCCGAAAGCCCAAGAATCCTCCGACCCTGCACCGGATGCATAGAGGTGGCAGGGTCGTCTTACCGGTTCCCGAAAGGCCAAAGAAGACAGTGACATCGCCATCCCTGCAAGGAGATCTACTCCGAGAAGTTCGGTGGATCTATTGATACGGCTGTGAGTTTCGTTGCTTGCGGCGTTACAGCTCACGGTTAAACAGGCTTCCCATTTGTGCTGTGTGCTTGATGCACAACGCCATGCAGGAGAAAGGTTTCACTAACTCGGGATAATACGACAATTCAGCACAAGGAAAGAAACCCATCAGAGGAGGACGCCCAGGATCGAAGGAAGCAAAGAAGCGACCGTGGCAACACAAATCATGATACTGACGGAATGCCACGGAGAACATCACGATAGTCACGAGACCTGATGGTGTTGGGGTGCGCGAGGCCGTCATGATGCCAAGCATTGCCACCCCGACCATCACCACCACCACGGCTACCACGATCTCTAGCTAAAACCGCACAGGCACATATGTGCTGCTCACATGTTAGTGCGTGATCATCTTGGAGCCATCAAATCACCATCAAGATCCTCATCTCACGTCTCCGATTGCACTACCATCCTCATGACCATGATGGTCAAGAACACTATCAACAGCGTTATCGTGAACAGCACAGTGTTTAACATCACCCTCATCATCATCATCAGCAGCAGCACCATCACCAGCACCACCCTCATCCTCATCAAACTTGTCACCATGACTGCCGTCAGAAGATGCTCAGAATCATAGAACATACTGGCATCACGAAGAACATCATTGGCATCAATCATATGTCCCACAGTAACGCTCAACGGCCGACATGCATCTTCATCATGAGATAGGATCACAACATGCCACCAACTCCACGATTAGAAGATCAACAACCATCATCTTTAGCAACAACAACAGCAACAACCTCGTCACCTCAATGCCTTGTTCTACCGCATGCAGATGTTCAATTCAGAACCATGGAGCGAATACGATCATCATCCACGCAGTTATCACCCCAACCAACAACTCAAACCGCAAAACCGCCCACGCCGCCGTCATCAGAATCATCACAATGCACTGCACATAGGCGGTCGTAACCACCGCAGCAGTTGCAGCGTCGCCATCTTCTCACAACAGCCCATTAGCTATAACAGCACCACCCAAACCAGGCAGCATCGTCAGCGTGAGCATCATCTTCTTCTTCTGCTCCTTCATCTTCATCTTCATCAACATCATCATCGTCGTTATCACTGTGACAGAAAGAGGCCGCAGAAGAGGCATTGTCATCTGCATCAAGTTTGTGATGCCCCTACAAAGCCACGAACGATAGCATGAAGAAAGAAGGACTCTAGTACGAGCAGGAAGCAGCAGAAAACCAGTGTTGTGAGCACTGCGAAGACAATCTAGGGGCCTGCAAGGTTCCAGATGGTTCTAGGGTATATTGTAGCAGTAGGCAATCTGGTACAAGACTAGAAACCCTGAACCTAAATTTCTCAACCCGACACGCTCTTAATCAGACAGCTGTAGTACCACTTCTTCCCCTGGGGCCTCCCCTCGTTCGCAGAGGCGTGCATGCTGAGAATGCCACCTGAGCTCCCGGCATTTGATGCGTGCGTTTCGGGTGTGGGCTTTGGAGTCTTGAGTTTCAGGCTGGGGGTCGAGACTGTTGGGTCTAGTGTCCTTTCGCTAAGTACAGTAAGGCGTAGGGTATCAGAAAACTCCAATGCTGTAACCCCACATTCACTGGCTGCAAAGATGGATGCTGAGCCACACGACAGCTCTACAGACCAGAAGCTCTTCCGAGGGCCTGGATCAGGCCAGCACCTTTTCTCTGAAGCCAGCAACTCCGTCAACGCGAGCCGACCCCATCCGGACTGCCTCTAATCTGAACGAATGTCTCGCTCCCTTCGTGTGTGTGTGTGTGTAAACCGGAGCCACAATGCAACCAGAGCTGGGAGTGCGGGGTGGAGCTTCTTGCGACTTCGGACACGCTTCGGCAGCAAGTAGTTCATGATTGTGAAGACGCCTGGGATCATGTCGAGCTCGAAAACAAGTCCGATTGAAGTGAATGTGCGGGATTTGGGGGGTATGGAATGAATTTGAGGTTTAAGTCCTATGCTCTTCCTCACCAAGCGAGCGGCCCTTCTTCATCTCTCCGGCATACTGCGTGCCCAAGATCACGACCTCTCCTTAAGAAGTGCGGCAGTCGGATTCGGAAAGAAATGACATGTTCGGGGACGCGGAGGCATGTTTCAAACACTTACAACATATATGTCCATAGGTCCAGATCCTGCAACCTTCGGGCTCATTCCTGATGCCTGAAAGCACGTCAACCCTTGCAAACGTACATGAAGAGTTCAGAAGGTAGGGGGACCGAGTATGGCCATACACCTCAGGAACCTTAAGACAAATTCTTCCGGTCTTTAAGAACAGCCATTCTGTATCTTGAACAGAATGCGCAGTAAGGAAGCTCACCAGGTGAACCAAAGCCCTACTTCCGATACTCTACTACTAGAAAATGTACCTCGTTTGATACGTGCATCTGCATATCATAGGTGTGTATACATACTTACAGACATGCATACATGCATACGTGCGTACATATGTTTGCATATGTATAAGATGAAGTCTTCTACCATTTGTTTGTGAAACTACCCATGCCCATAACAATAATCACCGTCGCCAGACTAGCAAAAGCAATACGGACTGCCGGCGTCATCATCAGCATCATCAGCGTCATCGTCATCGTCATCATCATCATCAGCAGCATCAGCATAGCTCTGATGCAACAACAACGACGACGACGACGACGACGACGACGACGACGACGACGACGACGACGACGACGACGACGACGACGACGACGACGACGACGACGACGACGACGACAACAACAACAACAACAACAACAACAACAACAACAACAACAACAACAACAACAACAACAACAACAACAACAACAACAACAACAACAACAACAACAACAACAACAACAACAACAACAACAACAACAACAACAACAACAACAACAACAACAACAACAACAACAACAACAACAACAACAACAACAACAACAACAACAACAACAACAACAACAACAACAACAACAACAACAACAACAACAACAACAACAACAACAACAACAACCAACAACAACAACAACAACAACAACAACAACAACAACAACAACAACAACAACAACAACAACAACAACAACAACAACAACAACAACAACAACAACAACAACAACAACAACAACAATAGAGCCAATCACAGCAGTGCATGAGACTAGTAGAACGAAAAAGCCGGATGGCATGTCACAGCAGGTGTTTTCGCCAATGACCCTATACTAAAACCCAATCTGGACCCGAACCATACCTACCAATGTTCAAGACGGAGCCTTACTAACCATACACTTACCAGGCTCCCTAACTTAAGCCCCGGCACACCTTGCGGGGTAGGAATAGAACCTGGCCCTTCAGCCGAGCATCTCGAAGCAAAGTTCAACGACACCGAGGTTCCAGATGTCATACCCGGCGTCGCCCGGTTGCATGGGAACGCCCCAGCATTGTAGATCGTATAATCCTTGCACGAGGACCCTAAACCCTCCACCCTATATCCAACCCTGAACCCTGAACCTGAACCCGGGATCCCGCAAGTCGAAAGAACTCCCCCCACCCGGAACAAAGGACCCTGGCCCGAGAAGACTCTCCCGAACGCAACCTTCGAGGCAAGGTTAAGGAGTTTAGGATCGCGGTTTAGGGTTCAGAGTCTAGGATGTGGTTACCTTGAGGTGTGTGGGGATTTTCGGAGGCATGCGCAAGCACGGTCCGACGAAGAAGCTGGTGTTGGAGGGTCACGAACAGGTTTTCCAGCGATAGCGTACTCCATGCGATCACAGCCTGAAACTGTAGAAATGATCATCATCTGCAACCGCGTCCGAAAGGTCTCTCTTCCTCGTTGAGGTCACTCGGGAGCTACTCAAAACACCTTAAACCGCGAAATCCGAGCTTACCCTGTGTCAACTAGGGTTCAAGGGTTCTGAAGCGTTAGCCCGGTTGCAAATGCGGGTTAGGTCAGGATTGTCTTCACGAGGCTTTCGGGAGAACCCGCAGCAACTGCTGAGCCCTGGGCGGGCTCGCCAAAATTCGCGAGCTCCTTCAGCTACTTCCAGGTTTAGGTTGAGGGCTTGGGCTTTAGGGTTTAGGATATCGGGTTCAGGGTTTAAGGTTGAAGGCTCGGAAACATGGGTTGAACAGGCAGAGGGCATAGGCAAAGGAGAAAGCGGCTTAGCAGTGCTGAAAGCTTTGAGGCAAAAGGATTCAGGAACAGAGGCTGCTGGGTCTGGTCCTAAGTTCAGCTTCAGCAGAACCTTACTTGCTGCAAGATGGTGAATCCCAGTTTTCGCTGAACTCTGAACCCCATGACCAAGATCTGTCCAAGACAGATCAACCACTATTGACAACGAGGACACCAGCGATGCAATGCTTGGAGAACGAAGAGGCAACTGTGTTTCACCTAATCTTTAATGCTGGTCAAGCTCCAGAAAGCCATTGAGAACAAACTACTAACATTCCCGCTGGATTTGGCTCTTCGTGACTGATGCTGATCGGTGGCACTTGGGCTTCTCACCACGAGCCCTGACAAATCGTCCCGTGCACCTTCTCTGTCGGCCGAATCAGCATGTTGTGCATGAAGAGCGCATGGTAGGCTCGGCTCGTGATGACGCGGACCTGCCGAGAACCCGGTAAGCCACACCCCGCAGACATGCTGAACAGCGTCGCTGATGAAGAACCTAGGTTAATTATGATGGTGATGAACACAGATGATGATGAGGAGGAGGACGCTGATGGTGATCATCCTGATCATGATGATGATTCTCATCATGAACATGGTGAGGTTCTTCGTAACCAGTTTTGACGATCATGACCACGGAGACGGTCGTGCAGATGGAGACATGAGATGATTATGTTGATATTGCGGTGCTGATGAAGACGGAAATGATGACGATGATGATCATGGTTTCTGTAAGATGATGGCGAGCTAACATGCGAGCAATACATGTGCTGTTGATTTTTGGCTAGAGATTGGGTGGTGGTGGTGGTGGTGGTGGTGGTGGTGGTGGTGGTGGTGGTGGTGGTGGTGGTGGTGGTGGTGGTGGTGGTGGTGGTGGTGGTGGGTGGTGGTGGTGGGTGGGTGGTGGTGGTGGTGGTGGTGGTGGTGGTGGTGGTGGTGGTGGTGGTGGTGGTGGTGGTGGTGGTGGCCGATCCTGACACTGAGAGCGATGGTCACCATGCTATGATGACACAGATGCTGACTATGTTGGCGAGGATAACACTGACACCCATGCTGGCGATGTTGATAGCAACTACGACGAGAGCAAAGACGATGCTGACGGCAATGACGTAGAGTATCGAGACCATCCTGAACACTCATAAGCCGTAAGCTTTCGATTGTTGCTAGGATTGTTCTGTTCAGTGCAGCATCATCTTTAGTCTGACTACTATGATTCACATGGTCATCATTGTGCTGATAGTACCAGGACCAACATCACAACATGCAAGAGTATTCCGAGCCATTAATCTTTGCCAGTGTCGCACAAGTGGGCCAAGGATTGCAAAGCTCTCAACACCAAACAACCGCTACCTTGTAGCGGTACTCCGGGTCCCAACCAGCGAAGCCGTCAAAGACGTACAATCTTTCCTCAGCTGGAAACACGTAGCCGAAATGCTGGTTACACGATGGCAAGGGACATGGACGGTGACGTCGAGGAGTAGATGACGATGATCAGGGAGGGACGGCCACGAGCAAGCTGAACGATGCTGGCGATGGCAGTAATGATGACAAACATGATGATCATGAATTGCAGCAGCAGCAGCAGCAGCAGCAGCAGCAGCAGCGGCAACTGCAGCGCCAGCGGTAGCGGAAGCCGTAGCCGCGGTAGCTGCGATAGCCCTACTGCTGTAGCCGTAGCAGCAGTAGCAGTAGTAGTAGTTGTAGTAGTAGTAGTAGTAGTAGTAGTGGTAGTGGTAGTGGTAGTGGTAGTGGTAGTGGTAGTGGTAGTGGTAGTGGTAGTGGTAGTGGTAGTGGTAGTGGTAGTGGTAGTGGCAGTGGTAGTGGCAGTGGCAGTGGCAGTGGCAGTGGCAGTGGTAGTGGTAGTGGTAGTGGTAGTGGCAGTGGCAGTGGCAGTGGCAGTGGTAGTGGTAGTGGTAGTGGTAGTGGTGGTAGTTGTAGTGGTAGTGGTAGTGGTAGTGGTAGCAGCAACAGTAGCACCAGTAGCAGAGCAGGAGGAGCAGCAGCTGCAGCAGCAGCAGCAGCATGGCTCAAAGGGGCTACCGGCTACCGATCCCGAGCACTTCACTTCTCATAGTCTCTGCTTGCCAAGGAGCTCTGGTGTTTAGGTAATCGATGGCACGCTCTCGGTTAATCCTTGGTGTCTATGACCCACTGCTGTGATCGCAGGTGCTGCGACGACAGGGACAAAAATGCTCCAGAGTCCGAATGGAGCCACAGGCAGCGCCCGTGTTTGCAATCTTTTTCCTATAGTTCAGCGCCTGTTAGGGATAACGTGGACAACTGACACTGAACTGCTGTTACAAATACTGCTGCTAGTGTTCCCGAAAAAAGGAGGCTTGCGACTACGACTATGACCACAACTGATAAGAACGCCACACTCCGCACGCTCGACTACCACTGCCACCACTATAAGCGGCAATACCGCCTACAACAACAACAACAACAACTACTACTACTACTACTTCTACTACTACTACTACTACTACTACTACTATTACTACTACTACTACTACTACTACTACTACTACTACTACTACTACTACTACTACTACTACTACTACTACTACTACTACTACTACTACTACTAGCTGAAATACAAGCAATGCCATCCCTACTAAGCTACTGCCCGTGACCCTCACGATTACATGCCAACCATCATCATGCGCGTACAAGGCCTCCCGAACAGTGTTCTGCTGGCATGTTGATGTTTGTCGCCACTGAAACACTTTTGAGATCGTCCAGCCTCGCCTTAAACTTTTCAGTACGGGGTATGTCGATCAGTGGTACTGAGGCTATTACATCGTGCGCCTGCAGACAGCACTACGAGCACAGAAGCTGAATCTCACAGCAGGTAAGCCAGGTAAGCTAAGCAGGACCCAACAGAGTAGAGCCCAGAAGGACAAAGCATCTCTAACCCACTGATGTGATGCTCAAGTTGCTTGAAGGTCTTGTCGGTGAGGGGAACATTGACACTGCCTGAGAACACCACTCTTGTGCTCGAAAACATGTATTCAGAGTTCGACCCGTCGGTTCCCATATGAAGCCAGGCGCACGACAAGACCGTGAATCTTTGTCATCTCGTGGCGTGTGTTGACTTTGGTTCAGGGTTTGGGGTTCCTGACTTAGCTGGGGACATTGATAGGCTTGCTGGCTTCGCGTGAGCGCAGGCTGTGCCGAGGTGCCCCACCAAATGTCCTCTGAGGTCGAGGGCCTGAGCGTTGGAGAGTTGGGCTTAAGGTGTAGCCTTAGGTCCAGCATTTAAACTATTCCATTCTCAGGCACGTCTGTCTACAAGCCTGTACTCGTAAAGGTTTGCACTGGCATGCTGACTGCTTGGCGAAATCTACTTGCAGAGATGGGTGTCTTCACTTGTATGTCTGATACATACAGGTATATAGACATACATACTTGCCTTCGCTTACACATCCCCGACCTGAGAACAGAGGTAGTTCTCTAGATCAGGACCCCCTCAGGATTCCTACTGATTGTAAGCGCAACTTACCCTCTAGGGATTCCAAAACGGGAACCCACGTTGAGAAGCTGGGTTCTTGTTGAGGAACTGAATTTCCATTGCCATAGAGTGAGGGCACCTCTTTGTAGCTCCTATAGATCCCTAAAATGTTAACCTTCGACTGGAACCAAACTCGCGAAGGATTCCAACCCAAACATACAATCACCGACATCCTAGAAGCCAAAACCCGAACGTGAACTGAGGCGACCACTCTAAACCATGAGCCCCAAACTCTAAACCTATCCCAACAGCCCTACACCCGAAAACCTTGAAATCCCGAAAGTCCCACCACACACGTCTGGGCTCCCGTCTCTTCAACCACCCGCTTGTCGAGAGGGGAGCGGCCGGTCTTGGCACCTGCCGGGATAAGGATGCATATGCATAAACAGATATATGACGTTATAAGATGTACGAAGCACATGCATCCATACATACATACATACATACGGTACATATACATACATAAGTAAATACGTACATACATACTTGCATACATACATGCAGACATACATACATGCCTACACATGCATACACGCATACACGCATACATGTATACATACATGCATGCATGCACGCATGCACGCATGCACGCATGCATGCGAGTGCACGTATATATATATATATATATATATATATATATATATATATGTATATCTATATATATATATATATATGTATATATATATATACATATATATATATATATATGTGTGTGTGTGTGTTTGTGTCAGTGTGTCAGTGTGTCGGTGCGTCGGTGCGTCGGTGCGTCGGTGCGTCGGTGCGTCGGTGCGTCTTTGTGTCTGTGTGTCTGTGTGTCTGTGTGTCTGTGTGTCTGTGTCTTTGTGTGTCTGTGTGTCTGTGTGTCTGTGTGTGTTGGTTTGCACGTGTACACCAGAGAGATCTGGAGATAGATAGATAGGTAGATAAATGGATAGATGGATAGACAAACAGATAGAGACGGGAAATAAACAAATACCTAGACAGGTAGATGCAGAAATCGATAGGTGAATCTTTTCATGCTAAGCTTCCGTACATACTTGTCTGCTTGTGTATCCAACCATGCTTGCATCTGCATGTCTGTCCGTCAGGCCTGTGTATCTACAGAGTGCGCTTTTGCGTGGAGATATGTGTGTATGTATTTATATGCTCAAACATACTCATATCCAAAGTCATTGCATAATTGATTCCCCTATGAAACAAATCATGCTTTTGCCTGTTCCATGCAATGCAATGCCAAAACCGTAAACACGGCACCTGGGTCGCTAGCTTTAATGCGAGAACCGAAGGCAGACCTTAGAAATCTACATTACATACCACAGAAACGTGCAGAATAACATAAAATCTGCAAGACACCAAGTTCGAGAGATCCCTATTGACTATTGCATATCGGCCACACGTCTTACAAGGTCCCTCTAAACGTCAGTTAGTTCTTCAAATGAGGATTTAGGATTTCGGTTTTAGGGGTTCTCAGTAGGTGTAGGGCTTTAGGTTACGGTGGGGCGGATACTTAAGCGTTCAGCACGGGATACAGAAGAGTACATTTTTGGGGTTTACGGTTTCAGGGGGTTTCATGGGCGAGATTTAGGGGTTAGGGATTCCTGAGTCTACACAAGACAAAGCAAAGTGATGAACGTCTGCTGCTAGTGAAGGCGAGAATTGTGGTCACATGAAGACGCATCGATAACTGAACGGTTGCTGGAGGTTTCCTGGTGGCAAGTCGCGGACAAGATTGTGACAACATACATGGCACGAAAGCTACAAATTTGTGCTTTTCAAACTTCTCGGTTCATCCCCCCCATTTTCGGGACCTGAGAAGGCCGCCAGCGCCCCGGTGGAGAGGATGGCGGAGCCTTTCTCGTAGCGCAGGGCCTGGCTTTCGGGGGCTTGTAAGGGTTGAGAGGGTTTAGGGGGTTTAGGGGGTAGGGTTGAGGGTTGAAAGAGTTTAAGGAGGGTTGAGGGTTTAGGGTTGAGAGGGTTGCTGGGGTCATGGAAACCTGCAGTCGAAGCTCGAGTGCTCTCTCTCGAACTACGGAAATTTCTTCAGCAACTGGGATCATCCTCAAACCTCTTTCTCAAGCAGGTAATAACAGCGCCACTTGTCGTTGAGACCCCGTATTTCTTAAAAGGCCGCAAAAGCTCATGGAAGGCCTCGTCGTACAGGGTGCCCGGGCTTGCGTTGTGCTGCACCCACTCCGTATGTATGCCCAGGTCGTGCAACATCTTCATGTCCTCAGTGCTGCAGCAGCACGAGGAGGGTTAAGCATTGGCAGCTGAAACCGAGAGAACCTGGCACTCCAAAATCGTGGGAAGTTCGCAGGGTGATGGGCTGGCTGAGGAACCACACCAGCAGTGCCAATTCACTCCGGGCTTCTGCGTCTTCGAAGATGTGGTGGTCATGGGGCAGCTGCTGCGCTGCACTTCCCCTCGGAATCTTAGGGAGCTTGAGACGAAGCACCAAGATCCAACCTTTCACAAAGAGCCTCAGATCCGAGTCACATTCGTTTGTACGTCCTTGTTCCCGAACTCGTTTTCGTGATCTTGACCACAAGGACCGTCGGTCGCATCCCCATACCCCTTCATGTGCATCATCATGAGCATCATCACGCGTGCTCTAAACCGCCATCATGTCATTCATATCCGTATACTCATCCTCGTCTTGGCCGCTTCTCCTCCTTCGCTACAACCATCACCACCGTCATCACCAGCAGCTGATGAGATGATGAAGAGGATGATGATGACGATGATGGTGGTGACGATGATGGTGATGATGATGGTGATGACGATGATGACGATGATGATAGTGGTGGTGATGGCGATCATGACGATGATGAGGAGGATAATGATGACGATGATAATGATGATGACGATAATGACGGCGACGATGGACCATGCTGTTCCGTGATAAGCAAACGATCAGGACCAGAACAATGATGGCATTGAAGGTGCTGATGGTGGCTATGGCGACCATGGTGATGATGATGACGACGACGATGACGAGGAGGAGGAAGCCGATGATCATGCCTATGATGACAATGACGATGATGACGACTATGATGATGATCATGATGCTGATGATGATGGTGATCATGGTGATCATGGGTCGTGCAGGCTTGCTTCCATGATGCAGACATGAACAAGAACGTGTGGCACCACTGTAGAGACAGGAGACCAACCAGTCATCTCACGGAGCTCAGACCGACTTTTGCCGATGGTCGCTGCAGAACTTTGACACTTGTGCTGAAATAGATCCTCTACATGGAATTTAAGTCGACCCAGAACGACTGACCAAGGCTGAGCCGTCGCCACAGAAAGCACCCGACACCATGTCGTGAGCTCCTGGCGGACTCGCCTTCAGCGCATCGGCGATGCTCTGCCTCACCTGGCTTCGGCTTCGGGGCCTTTAGGGTTTGGGGTGTAGCTTTGGGTCGCAGGGTCGTGGCGTAGGAAGTTTAGACCATAGAAAATGCAGCAAAAGCCGGCATACGTGAGACCACTAATTCTGGACCTCGGAGTGTTCAGACACAGGAGGTTGGACACTGCAAACGCGGTCTTGGTTTCAGTCTCCTATGACTACATCGGCACCCGTAAGGATCGGAGCTTTGCAAGTGCCGTGCCTGTCGCCTTACTTCAATTGGGTAAGCCAGCTGGGACAAAAACGGATGCGGAACGTGCTGGCAGCACTAGCAGTGACAGTACCCTGTGGATCAGCTCGCCATTAGCATCACAACTAATGGTAGCAGTAGCTGTAATCGAGATGGGAATGACACGTGTGGCTCTGTAGCTCAGGATGAGTCGAAGCTTCGACAAGGCTGAAACTGGTTTAAAGTGCAGGGTCTCCTACGGAAGCTTAGGCTCGATTAAACTTCGAAGGATTCTGAGCTCAAGGGGTGGAGCTGAGAAGTGCGGAGGGCATGCACGCAGCAGCGCCTTTGCTTGGTCGAGGCTTCTGCGGCCTCAGTGCACGGTTCGAGTCTGCTGTGATTCAAAGCGTCTATGTGAAGACTCTTCGCTTTATCATAACATCTGACTTTGTTGCTTCTTCTTGCTGACTCGAACAGCCTTGGCGGCACGATTAACTTCAGCATCCTGACAACATCAGCACCATCATCATCACCATGATCATCATCTTCGATCTTCGGCGCTGCCATGATTATCACCACCAAAGGCAAACCATGCGTTCATGCCGATGCTCAGGTTGGTGCTTATACTTCCGCTGGCTGTTCTCGTGCTCATCCTGATGATCACTCGCACTTTCGCCGCTCCTCGTGTTCATTCAGGTTTGAGTATCCACCTGCAGCAGCGCACGCAAATATCTCATATGAGACCGTCGCGTTCATTCCCGTTCAAGTTCTCGTCTTCTGTTCCCGTCAGCTGCTCTCATTCCCATGCTTGTCGGAACTGCGCCGCGCTCAGTCCCCCAAGACATATTGTCGAGATCGTTTCAACACATAGAACGGATAACTAATGCAGACCCCGGATTAATTACCTTTGATTGAAAGCCGTACAATCTGGATTCCTCTTCTAATCCTTCTTAACACAGCGGGTTCACAGCATGGAAAACCGCTCACAAACACAAGTACAACAACCTATGAAAACCTCAAGAAACCGGGAGTTCTTAGATTCTGTGTCTGCTGAGGGGCTTCCATGCAGACACCGGAGGCCGACACGGGAGCCTCGTAGCAGGGGCCTCCCCAGAAGCGAAGATTACGAGGTTGAAATTCCAGGGAATTGGGATGTTTTGGGATGTGGCGTCTTGGGATTTAGAGCCTAAGCGTGCGGGCTTAGGGGTTCAGAGTTTAAGGGTGCTAAGGTTTCGGTTGAAGGGTTTCGGACTGGGCCTATGGCTTCAGGGTTTTGGGCGTGAGGGTTTAGATTGAAGGGCTTAGGACTTCAGGTCGAAGATTTTGCATTCAATCATGGGGATTTAGAGTCTCGTAATGGAGCACAACAGTTGGATCCAATGAAACTACGCACGATGTGGATATTCGGCACTATTGCGTCACCCGCCTCAGCAGTGACGTGCGAGATGCCATGCTGCGACGAATGGCCGATCAAACTGAGAACCCAGATGATGAGCCGATATCTTGCTCGATGCGTGTCACACGACAAACCCAAACCGAGATAGCTATGCAGCTCCCCAAAAACAGCGGAGGTGGCAATACAAAATTCACATCGGCTCGTTCTTGAAGGTTTCATGAGCAGGGGTCTAGAATATCTATGGCACACAACGAGCCCCTAATCGCGAAACCTTAAATTCTAAGAGGGACCTATATTAAGCAACGAGCCCAAGGTCCAAAATTCGTGCAGTCTCTTTACTGCCCGCTGTGGCGCCGCTCCTGGCTTCTTCCTGCCTGCCTTAGTGACGGGAGGGACTTCAGGAGTAGGGTTTTGCCGCCAGCAAGGCCTTGGAGATTTAGGACTTTAGGGTTTAATAGGCTTTACAGTTTAGAGGTCGAAGGGGGCGCGCTAATATCTAATTAGCGGAAACTACACAAGAAGGGAGGAAAACAAGCAAACCTTGATTAAGAAATGTTCCTCAACGCGTAGCAAAGTAATCTTTAATCAACGGCTGGGTTTTCTCGTGCTTTAACGCCTCAACCTTCCAATCATCAAACATGAGGTAACCGGTAACCATGCAAGCACCGAAAACAAAGCCCCGCCCCGCAAGCTTGAAACTTTCATGCTCAACACCGAATCATGACCCCTCGCGACTCTGAATGCACGAAGGGTATTCCTCACAGACAGGGCCGCCCACACATGAACTCGCAGCAAGTCTCATAGGCCTCACCGGAAGCTTAAACCCCGGCACCCGTAAACCATATGAATTAGGATTTGGGGTATTGTTAAACCCTACACCTTAAACCGCAAGCAAGGCAGCAGGAGTCCAAGCCTTGGGTTTAGGCTTCGGGTTTCGGGCTCGGGCTCGCACGGCAGGAAAATTCTGGAGATGCTGCTGCCGTGCCACCAATCCCGATCTCGCTGCTGCTGCTGTTTCAAGCTGATGGTGATGATGACGAGGAGGAGAAGGAGGATTACGATGGAGGATGAGGATGCGGACGAGGCTAAGGATGGGGAGGATGGAAGATGGAGGATGAGGATGCGAATGCGGATGCGGATGAAGAGGAGAAGTGGATGATGATGGAGGATGCGGCTGCGGATGCGGGTGAGGATGAAGGTGAGGGTGAGGATGAGGATGAGGATGAGGATGCCGATACGGATGCGGATGAGGATGAGGATGAGAATGCGGCTGCGGATGCGGATGAAGATGAGGATGAGGGTGAGGATGAGGATGAATGAGGATGAGGATGCCGATGCGGATGCGGATTAGGATGCGGATGAGGATGAGGGTGCGGATGCGGATGAGGATGCAGATGCGGATGAAGATGAAGATGAAAATGAGGATGCGGATGAGGATGTGGATGCGGATGCGGGTGAGGATGAGGTTGTGGCGACATGGGCACCATCTTTAATTTCTGAATGGAACTTTGCTCGGCGGAACCTGGCCTGCTGCGTCAAGAGCAGCAGCTCCTGAGGACACCGATGGTCGGGCGTCTGCAACTTGACACATGTCACATGCGGTCAAGCCAGCAGCCCACCTGGCGGATGCTCCGCTTGGCGCATGCGATCTCTGCTCGGACGTGGAGCTCCCACACCGCTTGCACCTCACTACTGCCATCATCGCTGTCGTTGTCGATCATTCCCGCATTCACTTTGACACTATGCCTCATGGTACCATGCCAAACCACCACGATGCACCCCTCCCCGGCACCCACGCAACATGGTCTGTTAGAACTACGAAGCCAGGCTGCCATGGCTGCCGATTTAGCCTCGAGGCGCTGGAGGCACCGGACAGCCTGCCCCAAGCCAATCGTTTTTGCGATGTGATGATGGCAATGCTAGTCATATAACAGAAAGCAATTAAGTTTAGCATGAGCAGCTGCTGTGCGGGATGCCGCACTGATGGTCGCGGTGATGCATTTGTTGCTGGATAAGGTGACGCAGAGAGCTTGTGTGCATTTATCAAGTGAATCTTGCCCACATCGACATGTCGGGCTTTGGGCTTAAAGGGGCTTTGAAGTCGCGTGGGCTAACTAATAAGGTTCATAACTTTATATCGTGTTGGGTTCTCTGTCTTTTTTGTCCTACTGCAGTGGTGTATGGGTTTGGGGTGCACTCGGAAGCTTCAAAGCGACAGAGCCTTTCTTGAAGAGTGCTCTTCTCCAAGCCGGGCTGGCAAACTCGGGTATCTCGAAATCAGCCCTCAAGAAGGTGTCTCGAACCCCAACTAAGCTGCTGCCATCAACGCTCTATATACTCCTACCAAGGCCCAGGGCCCAGGCATCCAAGGGGTTTTAAGGGCGTAGGCTCCAACAAGATTATATAGAAACTTTAATGGGGCAAGATCTTATGTTTTTCAAAGCTCTCTATTACCGTTTGAAGCTTGGGAGACGGAGCTGAAAATGAAACTTCGGGTTGAATCGAGGCTTCGGCGATTTTTTGGGGGTTGGGTTCAAAGTCACAGCCGCACTGCACTGTGAATTTCACGGTCTCGATCGGGCGTTCGAGTCTAGACTCCGGCAAACACGGCGATGGAACTGCATCGACTCCGCTTCGCCGAGGCCGCGGCATCGTCCAGGATCCCCGAATCCGTGCAGCTGAGAGTCACTAACCAAGAACGAAATCCCCTTCCAAGGTCTAAACCTCATATAGCTTCATACCATGACCACCATCAGGACGACCACTAGCTCCAAGACCGCCACGACCGCCACGACCCAACGACCACGATGACCACGACGACGAGTGCTACTCCGATGCTGAGTTTTGGACTGCTACTACTTGCTCGGGCGCTGGCTCTTGATTGTCGAGAATTGTTTGCTCCAACAGCACCGCCTGATCGGATTTCAAGTCACAGACTGCAAGTATCGAAACTCCACACCATTGCTTGCTGCAGACTGTGCTCCCGCATCTCTGCAACTTCTTGATGAATGCAGGGCTGCACGCAAATGTTATACTCTGAGAATTGACTCGAAATTGCTGAGCAGACGACCGCAGTAAGTGATAAAACCAGCCTTTCGAGGCGCTGCACCTGCAACGCAAAGGATGCTCTTCTCTTACTCCAGGCACCCGGAACCCTAGTTCGCCCCAGGTTGCCGAATCCAAAACCAAAACCCAAAGTTTCAGCCAAGCTGGAGCTCCTGCGACTCCAAAAAACAGGCATGCGATAAAGGCACAGATGGCATGTTCAACATTGCACCTCCACATTTGAGGGCTTCTGGTCCGGATGCCATCGCAGCTGCAAGGACCTGCCACCGGACAAAATTCTGCACAAGCGCACGGAAGCAACTTTCCTCCCGACCGCCTCACCGCCGCCTTGAGGTCTTGCCCAAATCCAACATAGGATGTGCTTTCCACCACTCTGGAAAGGCGGAAGCTGCCTTGTGTGGGCAGACGTGGGCATGATTCTCAGCTGCAGGAGGCGCTTCATTTTCTTATCCTCCTTGCCAGCCTTATCATTTCTGCGACTGCTACCATGCTTATCACCACTGTCATTATTGTCATTCATGCCATTCTCATGACCTTTGAAAGTATTTTCAATACCGGTATCATTATCATCGTCACTGTTCTCATTATTCTCATGATTATCATGCTTACCATTAGCATCAATATTAGAAGTAGCCGTATTACCAATATTAACAACATCATCAGTGTTATCATTCTTTTCAGCGTCATCATGCGTATCAAACATTAGCACAGTGCTACAATATGTTGGTCTTTACTTCGTTATACTCAATATTATCATTGCGACTCTTGCCAACATCACCAATAAAATCACTGATATGTTAGTACCGATCTTCTCATTAATGCCATTATTCGCATCTCTATCATTATTGCCTTTACGACCAGTACTCTCATCATTATCGTCATGGTCGCTATGATCTACTGTTATGGCTCTAGATAGTGCCAGTCCGACCGTTGTGATCGTTATCTTGTACCATGTTTGTAAAGACTATCATTATTGTCACGAATATCATTGCTTACCACTACTTACCACTGCTAACATTACTAACAAGCACAGGCGCCTGATCTTGCAGCCATCGAAGGTCACGCGCCTGCGACATCGAAGGTCTGCGCATGAAGGCATGGGGTGAGTCCCAAACCCACAGCGCAAGACGCGAGCAGCCAAGACGCCTTCTTCGCAGCCCGGCGCCTGGCAGACTTGGACCTTGCAGTGGAAACGAAACTAACGAAACAGTTGATTTTTCGCACTGTACGTTCGCGCTTACGACCTCAGGAATCTGGGCAAAGCGCAACTCACCGTTGTTGGTCATCCTTTTTTCGTACTATTTGGCTTGTAAAAAGGGAGCCACCCAAAAAAGCGCAAAAGGGTACTGCAGGGGAACCTAGTAGGGGACTTGGTCAGGGTTTATACCCGAGGCCACGACAGGTGGGCTTTGCGGGCTTGAGGTGCAGCATGATTTACGGATTTAGGGTGCTCTGTGTGCAGGTTTAGGGTTTCAGAAGTGCGCAAACCCTGCGAAACACCATAAACAAATCCTACACAACCCGATTAAACCTTCCAGCACCCCCCTAATACCCGAGGTTCCCGAAATCGTCAGCTGATCCCGGCGTCCATCTCGGGGTGGACCACTATGCACAAGTCCGCAACCCCTGCGATGTGGCAGCACTCCTTTCTTGTACGTAGGATTACCGATTACTACCGTTAGGGTTACGCTCGGGGTACAAAACTCAAGCAGCCCTCCCCCACGGTAACAACAATGGTCTGGACCAATGCCGTTTATTGGTGGGACAAGGGGGGACCGTTTTGCAAGACAGTCATGCGAGTTGCCCGCTCCCGGCCTCCCAAAGCCGGGGAATCGCAACCTGTTGCGCTGCCTTCTGTTTCTGAAATGAGCTCGTGTAATCTTGTCCACTCGGAAGGCACATCCGAAAGGGACCCGGTTTTTCAGAAACCCCCATCTGACTTCCAGTCGCGGCTTTCAGCTGGGACCAAGAAAGCCATCGAAGGCAGCTGCGGCAATTTGACTGCCTGCGCTGTGAAGGTTTACCCAAACAAACTAGACGGAAGAACGGCATGTCGTGACATCTCCTGGGAGTGGGACCACTGTGCACAAGTCCACAACCCCTGCGATGTGGCAGCACTCCCATTGGGCAACTGCACCTGGACCCTAAACACGAACCCCTAAACCCGTAAATGCGTAAATGGTTGAACTAAGCTCTCAATCCTAAACTGCTAAGCTCAACAAGGGAAGGGTCGAGGCCGTTTCTCGACCCAGCCAGGCTCTCACTGAGCCGAACCCGAAGAGGAGCCTCCGACACAGGTATCGTGTCCAGATGTGCACAGTGTGTGCTGTGAAGAAGCTGGCTAGAAAGCACACCGACGGCATGAACGTGTAAAATTAGCTACTAAGTCTCTAAGTAAGTCCCCCGACCCTCCAAGAAGTCGTTCACACGAACTTGTCGGGGTTGGCATCCGAGCAGTCTTTTAGCGTGGTTTGCAGTCTGCTCAGCCGTGTCAATTTGTCCGAGGTTCATCGTGGTTGTCGCCCTCGTCACCCTCCTCACCATCGGCATCATCACCCGGAGCATCAAACAGCAACAGCAACGAGATCGGCGGCGGCCCCTTGCCATGTATCTGTAGAGGGCTTTACCAGGCATTTGGCCTGTAATTATCGAATTATAGGGTTCTCTTGAAAAATCTGTTTTGTAAGCATCTCTTGCGAAGGATTTGTGCAAGATTTTGTGGGTAATTCCTTCTGTGTTTTGCCGCATGACGCAAGATTGCCTTCAGCCTTGAGGCACTGGGACATGCAAAGACCCAAAGCCGTACTTATAGGATCATGGAGCATCGCCAGTCCGGTCCCAAGTAGGCGCCCCGCCGACACGAATCAGCAAATCGGCGAGCATCCTTTGCAGCCTTGGCCGACAGGAATCGCAGACAGCGCATGCACCATAGGTCTACTACTCCTACTGCGACCGCCCGCCGTGCGGCCAAAAAGCGCGCTGTGGTTTCTTCGGGTTCCTGGGGGGTAAGGTTGCTGAGCCAACTACCGCGTCTGCTGTCTTTCCTAGGTTTTACTTTCTTTCGTTAGTGGCGTTCGCCACTCTCTTCACTACTACTACTACTACTACTACTACTACTACGACTACTACGACTACTACGACTACTACTACTACTACTACTACTACTACTACTACTACTACTACTACTACTACTACTACCTCTGGAGCCATTGTCAAGTGCCATAGTGTCATAACCTGGTCCCACTTCCTTAGCATACCCACCTTCACTGACCATACCCTTAACTCCACTCCCCTCCTTTATCGCATTTGTGCTGCGACTTTCCATGCTGGCCCCGTACTCACCTCAGGGCATTACACGTGTCGCCTCATTGCGGATGACCAGGCTTGGTTTTGTGATGATGGGGTTATGCCGGTGCCTCGTGTCTGTTCTAGAATTTGGCATGAGTTTTCCTCTAATCAGGACTCTGGGCAGTCTTGGAGCCGAGCCACTCTACTGATGCCATTATTGCTGCCCTGCCGGGCCCTCGTTGGGGAGGGGATTCTTGCACTGCTGATTGTTGTTTGTCCCGCAGCGTCGCCCGCGATGCGCGGATGCCTTGCAAATCCTTGAGCGTGCCGTCACCCTCTCTCTCCCCCCACCATAAAGCCTCCCCCGTCCTTTTCTAGGTACCACTGCCAAAAAAAAGGAGAAGCAACTAATCACACCCCTCCTGTAATGCACCGCTGCACCCTGAACCAGTCCGTTCCTAGACTGCGCCGTCAGTCCTGATCACTGGTGGGCCGATCCGCTGCAGGCGCGTGCGCTGTCGCTGGCTCGCCGAATGAACGAGCTGAGTCAGTGGTAGTGTCGAGCTGCCGCTTGGGTGTGTGGGGACTCTTCGGATTTTGGGATAGATTTGGGGTGAATCAATGTACTAGTGCGTCCTCGCCATTGGCGGTAATGGCCTCAGGCATACTGCTCACGTGCTATCATCCCATGACGTTTACTACTACTACTACTACTACTACTACTACTACTACTACTACTACTACTACTACTACTACTACTACGACTACTACTACTACTACTACTACTACTACTACTACTACTACTACTACTACTACTACTACCACTCCCACTCCCACTCCCACTGCCACTGCCACTGCCACTGCCACTACCACTACCACTACCACTACCACTAACACCAACACCAACACTAACACTACCAATACCACTACTAGGACCACTACGACTACGACTCGACTACGACCACGACAATGACGACTGCCACTAATACGACGTCTACCACTACTACCACAACAACAACCATAACCACAACCGCCACCACCACCACCACAACCACCACCACCACCACCACCACCACCACCACCACCGCAACCACAACCACAACCACTGCCAGTACCACTCGTAGTACTATACGACGACGACTACCACTAATGCTGCAACTAGTACTACGCTACTACTCTACTACTCTACTACTCTACTACTCTACTACTCTACTACTCTACTACTCTACTACTCTACTACTCTACTACTCTACTACTCTACTACTCTACTACTCTACTACTCTACTACTCTACTACTCTACTACTCTACTACTCGACTCTACTACTCTCTACTCTACTCTACCACTCTACCACTCTACCACTCTACCACTCTACCACTCTACCACTCTACCACTCTACCACTCTACCACTCTACCACTCTACCACTCTACCACTCTACCACTACGACTACCACTCTACCACTCTACCACTCTACCACTCTACCACTCTACCACTCTACCACTCTACCACTACGACTACTACTGCTACTACTACTGCTACTACTAAACACAAACACTGACACTAACACTACTTCTTGCTCGGCTCCTGGCTCTCGGATCTGCCGCGTGTGCACATCGAGCACGTCGCCCTGATCTTGCATCAAAGCGCAGACTGGTAGGATCAGAAATTTGCACCATGGCCTGGAGAAACTGGCGGTCCTGGATGTCGTTGCTTTCCTGGTGAATTCAAAGACACTTAATGGCGGGCTCCAAAAACTGACTCGGAATTGCTGGGCAGACGACTGTCTCGAGGTATTGCAGTCGTGTTCTGACTTCCTGCGACTCCAAACACGGGGATGCCGCTTGCAGATTCAAGGTTTACAGTAAAACCGCAAAGCCTGCAATAGAGTAGATCCCTTCGAGTAGTAGGCTATGGGATCCAAAGGTGGGATTTGACGCTCAAGCTGCAATGCCAAGTTATAACTGCTTAAGAAGGTAGTGATGCCATCTTTCAGCTTCCTCTCTGATGTTCATGATCCAAACCTGTAAGGTTTAGGGAGGCCTCATATTGGGTTTAGGGTTTACAGGTACAAATGACGAGACCTTCGAGACATGTACGTGCCTGACACTCGCAACACCATCCTAGGCTTTGGAACCATGCACAATAATCCAAAGGCCTTAAACCCCAGACCCGAACTCTGAATCCAGAACAGTTGCTGCTACCACTACCGCGGCCACTACCGCTTCCACTGCCGCCGCCACCACCACGACCACGACCACGCCCACACCACCACGACCAGTCTGCTACCGCTGCTGATACCGATGCTACTGCTTGTTCTAGAGTCCCCATGGCATGTTCAACATTGAAGCCAGTGCTGCGACCTCCACGTTGGAGGGGGCTTTTTGTCCGGATACCATCGCAGCTGCAAGGACCTGCCACCGGACAAAAGAAGTCACAAGCGCACGGAAGCAAGTTCCCTCCCAGCGGCCTCACCGCCACTTTGAGATCTTGTCCAAGTCCAGCGTGCTGCAGGGGGCGCCTCATTTCTGGAGTGACTGCTGCATCTGGGACGACTTGCAGGAACAGTTGGACTCCCTGGGTCCAGGCAGGAAGCATGTTGCCGACGGCATGAATGTGTCAAGAGCAGAGCAAACATCGTCATCATCGTCGTCGTAATCATCACCATCATCACAGCATCACCACCATCACCAATATCATCACCGTCAGCATCATCATCATAGCCCGCAGCACCAAACAGCAGCAGCAACGCGGAAAGAAACGATTTTTTGTGATCGATTAACGAGATGGTCACACAGTGCAGGAGCCAGCTTCTTCACAGCACACATTAGGCACATCTGGGCACGATACCTGTGTCGGGTCGGGACAGCAGAAGCATTGAGACATGCACCAGGCATACATGTGAAAGCTGGCCTCGGCCTGAATCTCGCGCACTGCCAGCACATCTCTCGCAGGGGAGCTTCCCCTGCCCTCGCCAGCGGAATGCCCGGCTCTTAATCCCGTGTGCGGAACTCAGAATGCGAGTTCAAATGCTGAGAGGGACACTCCGCACCTCAAAGACATGACAAGACTCTGCAGACTGTGCAGGACGCTGATAGACTCCTCAAGGCTGAATGCGATCTGACGTCGCGTGGCAGAACACTGAAGGAAGTACCCTTACGAATCCTTCGCAAAACATGCTTACTAAACAGATCGTGAAATCTACCAGAGAACACGAAACTTCCAGGCCAAACGCCGGGGTAAAACCTTCTACAGATACATCGCTAGGGACCGCTGTTGAAGGATATCAGAGTCCACGACGACCCCAGTAAGCGTCCCGCCGCCACGCAAGATCTTCAGCAAGATCTGGCGCAGCCTTGGCCGACAAGAACCAAGAACCGAAAAACAGCGCATGCACCGTAGATTTTGTCAATGCTTTTGCTTTTGTTACTGCTACTACGGTCGTCAGCATCCACGCAACATCATCATTGTCGCCCCTCCGTCTCGCCAGCCTTATCATTACTACGATTGCTGCCATGCTTATCGAGATTTTGTCAATGCTTGTGCTTTTGTTACTGCTACTACGGTTGTCAGCATCCACGCAACATCATCAGTGTCGCCCCTCCGTCTCGCCAGCCTTATCATTACTACGATTGTTACCATGCTTATCGCGACTGTCATTGTTGTCGTTACTGTCATTCTCGTGACGCTTGCAAGTATTATCATTATTATTAGCAATATTCTCATGAATATCGTGCTGACAATATTGCCAGCATTATCAGTGTTATCCTTATCAGCAATGTTATCACTCGTATCAAAAGTGTCATTAGTACCATTACTACGACAAAACAATCATCTTCATTGCTATAACTTTAGTCATGCTTGTCATGATTGTCGTCATTTTGAATATCATGATTGCGATCATTACCAACATCATCAACAGTATCATCGGAACGGTGGTACGATTGTTCCTTTCTTCCCGTTGCTAGCATCACTATCACTGTCGTTCTTGCTATCATTGCTCTCATCATTGTCATCATGATCAATATTCTCCTTCATCATGGTTATCATGATTGAACCAATTGGCACTACCTTTCTGATGACTACAAATCATTATTGTCAGGGCTAACAGTGCTAGTACTACTAGTACTACTGGACTACTGGTACTACTAGAACTACTAGAACTACTAGAACTACTAGAACTACTAGCACTACTAGTACTACTCGGCACTACTAGTACTACTAGTACTACTAGTAGGCGCATGGCTACTAGGCTTGCGCACCTCCTGGCGCCTGGTAGTTTGCAGGTGTTAGAGGGTCAAAAGTACCGGTTTTTGCAGGGTTTTGTGAGAATTGCAGTTCAGTTACGTTTTCAAAAAACTACTTTGATTTACTAATAATTACACTTTTGGATGACGATGATGATGGACTGGTACTAGTACCTAGTACTACTGTAGTAGTGCTACTATTAGTGCCACTGGTACTGGTACTGGTACTGCTACTGCCAGTGCTAGCGCGACTGCTACTGCCGCTGCTGCACTATTAGTGCCACTGGTGCTGGTGCTGGTACTGCTGGTGCTAGTGCTAGTGCTACTGCTACTGCCACTGCCACTGCTACTGCCAGCACACAAAAATCGAGCCACTGTGCGGGCCCCCGCCCTCACGACCCCCCCGCACAAGTGGAAGAAAATCCTTCGAAACACACACGAAAATCGAGCCACACCGCGGGGATTGCGAAACCGGCAAAAATTGCGGTGAAGCATGTCGTGATTGACACCCCCAACATGCCCTCCCCTCCCAGTCGAACAAAAGCCCCCCGTAAAACGCTCCAAAGTACCGGCACTTCCAGTGTTTTTGGCAACAAGAAGACCATTGCCGTCGACCATGTCGTTATTAACCCCCCCACCCCACACACCCACCCAAAACCTCCCCGAAACGTTCGAAAACAGAGGAAAACACCAGGCGCCAGGAGGCGCGCATGCTACTAGTACCACTGGTACTGCTAGTACTACTAGTACTACTAGTACTACTAGTACTACTAGTACTACGAGTACTACTAACTTCTACTAGTACTACTACTACTTCTACTAGTACTACTACTGCTTCTACTAGTACTACTAGTGCTTCTACTAGTACTACTAGTACTTCTACTAGCACTACTAGTACTTCTACTAGTTCTACTAGTACTACTAGTACTCCTACTAGTACTACTAGTACTTCTACTAGTATTACTAGTACTTCTACGAGTACTACTAGTACTTCCACGAGTACTACTAGTTCTACTAGTACTACTTATACTACCAGTACTACTAGCACTACTAGTACTACTAGTACTACTAGTACTACTAGTACTACTAGTACTACTAGTACGACAGTTGCAGAAGATGCACGGGCTCAGGCTCCCCATCTGTGACAGCTGCATAAGTTGCAGAGTCTCAGTTTCCTTAATTGTCACAGCCGGTGAAGTTGCAGGGGCTCAGGCCCCCAAACTGCGACAGCAGCTGGAGTTGCAAGCTCGACGGGGAAGAAACTGCTAAACCGCAGGTGGTCGGATAGTACGAAAACGTTATAATTACCGTCCACAACGCAGTGCTGCCAAGAAGGGTTCAACATTTCTAAAACCTGAAGCGCAACATCTTCTAAACATCAAAAACAAAGATGCGAGCTGTACTTGGGAGGGGCTCGCCAACACCCCTACCGCCCAACCTCGGCGTAGGAGGGTCTGTTTCTGGAAGTGGTGTGTGGTGTGTGTGTGTGTGTGTGTGCGCTTGAGTGTGGAAATATTGTTCAGGGTGTCCGCAAAACAGTGTCGTGATCATCCCCGAAGTAGCTTTCCCCCACCCAATTTCGAGTTTTTTTGCAAACAATGTGAAACAGCAAAGTTTAACACGCATAGTCGAGAAGTAGGGGCTCAGAATACGTAACAAAGTCTGACATCACGAAAGTACCGTAAATACCTAGTTAAACGGTTCTTGTGGTGATACTGTTCGCGCATGACGAAAGTGCCGAGTAAAACGGATGTTGTCTTAACGTGGTTAAGAGCAAGTGTAGTTGGTAGATGGGGTGCAAGTGTAGTTGGTAGGGGGGTGCATACTACTAGTACCACTAGTACTACTAGTACTACTAGTACTACTAGTACTACTAGTACTACTAGTACTACTAGTACTACTAATACTACTAGTACTACTAGTACTACTAGTACTACTAGTACTACTAGCACTACTACTACTACTGGTACTACTGGTACTACTAGTACTACTAGTTCTGCTGTTACTACTAGGGCTACTAGTACTGCTCATACTACTAGTACTATTCGTACTGCTAGTACTACTAGTCCTACTGGTACTGCTAGTACTACTAGTACTACTAGTACTACTAGTACTACTAGTACTACTAGTACTGCTAGTACTACTACTACTACTAGTACTACTATTACTACTAATAGTACTACTAGTAGTACTACTCGTACTACTAGTACTACTAATTCTACTAGTACTACTTGCTAGTATTACTAGTACTACTAGTACTACTAGTACTACTAGTACTACTAGTACTGTTAGTACTACTTGTACTGTTTGTACTACTTGTACTACTAGTACTACTAATACTACAGTGCTACTCGTGCTACTCGTACCACTAGTACTATTTGTACTACTTGTACCACTAGTACTACAGTACTACTTGTACTGCTAGCACTACCAGTACTACCAGTACTACCAGTACTACCAGTACTACCAATACTAGTAATAGTACTAGCACCGCTACGACTGCGACCACTACTGCCGGTAATTATAACAACATTAGATACTCGGGTGCTGGCTCCCGGTTGTCCACCGTCAGGTTCTCCAGCAATCGGCCTGATCTTAAATCACATCACAGACTGACATGATCGGAAATTTGCACCACTGCCTGCACCAGCCGCTGCTGGCGCACTTCGCGGAGTTCTTGTCGCAAAACCTGCGAAAGAATAGAACACTTACAGTGGTAGGCTGTTGAATCCAAAAGTAGGATTTCAAGTTCACGCTTTTAAAAGGCAGGTCCGGTGGTTTGGACTTTATTCCTGGGCATCGCGGGTTCGATGCTGTGCTGCAACACATTGTCTTGCAGGCTAGGGTGTGCGTTTCATCTGTTGGGCTTATGGCGGCTTATGGTTTCGGGCTTTTGGCTGGGAGTCTTAGGAGTCCAAGCTGCAAGGGGAAGCTGTACGCAGCAAGACGCTGATGGGACGTGGTACAACTCCCAACCAACCTTCAGCAATTGTGCAAGGGCCTCGAGCCCAGTCACACTCCCATCTGTAGACAACATGCACACAACACCTCAAGCCCCGAGCCTCTGCAGCATGTGGCTCGCCCTGGAGGGCGGCTAAGCACCGCTAAAAGTCAGAGTGTCATGCATCTTGGCGCGAACTGAGAATCAGGGGCACGAATGATTGGACTAGGCCTTGTAATGCAAAAAGACCACGGAACCTGGAGGAATGATCTTGCCCAGCATTCATGTCGCATCTTACCGACGACTATTGCCCTAAACCCTTTCCTGGTGCTGGTGGTCTAAGTCCTGCCTGGGTGTCCAGGGCCACTCATTGCATAACCGATTCTGCCGCTAATTTCGCTGATTTAATGTTCGTTTCGTCTTCGTCCTCCTAGCTGCATTTCGATGCAACACAGCCGGAGCCTGATCATGGTCAAGCAGCTAAAGCCGAACAGCCTCCAACTAAGGAAAATGAGGTAAACTTTACTTCTGATCATACTTCCAGATTTGGGATTTTGGGCGTCAAACCTACGAGTCCAGCTCGTGACAGTTCAAAGCCCATGGCCGAAACGTCCAAAAGCCAAAACTCTCACGATGTGGCTTGCCCGGACGAGGTGGCAGCCTCGTCTCTCATAACAAGTACGTCTTCGCCCACATTCACGACTCCTAAACTCCAGGCCTCCGGGGTAAACGAGGGCCTTTGCGGCCGCCTTGCCCTTGGCATTATAGGGTTTCAAATTTTTCAAAGCCCAAGAATCTCAACAGAAATAAGACGGGAGAGAGGTCAAGAGAGCAAAGTGCCGATCCGAGGTCCGAGAACCGTGCCGCAGCGGCCTGTGACTCCCGCTTGGCCAGCTCGTCCTGCGAGTATCTGAGGACCGAGGATTCTTGTTTCGGCTGGACGTACGGAGCAAACGGCCCGTGACTCGGTTAAAGCGAGTGTCTCAGATCCGGGCCAGAGCTTCGATGCCACGTCGAGGGCCTGATGCCTCTGTGGTGCCAACACAGCAACCCTAACACGTCCGCTTTGCCAGCAACAACACGAAAAACTTCCAGAACATAGTCTCAACATGATGAGCCCTTAACCCCAAAAACCTCAAACCCGAAACCCCTCCCCAACATCCGGAAATCCCGGGAGTGCCACCACGCACGTCTGGGGCCCCCGTCTCCGCAACCACACGCTTGTCGAGAGGGGAGCGGCCGGTCTTGGCACCTGCCGGGATAAGGATGCATATACACAAACAGATATATGATGTTTCAATATGCACGAAGCACATGCATACATGCATGCATCCATCCATACATACACACATGCATGCATGCATGCATACATACATACATACATACATACCTTCATAAATACATACATACATACATACATGCATACGGGGGTGTGTTTTGCAGTTATACAGACAGATACATAGGTAGACCGGTACATAAATAGATGGATAGATGGGTAGACAGATAGACAGGTAGGTAGGTGGATAGATACATGGATAGATGGATAGGTAGGCAGATAGTGACGAGAAATCGACAAGTAACTGGACAGGGCCCAAGGATCTCAAGCAATCTTGGTCTTGGACTCCCAAACCCTGAAACGTTCATCTGGAAACCTTGAAGACGTACAGAAAACAAGCATATAGACACAGGCAGACAGACATGCAGACCCTTGTGTATCGAGACGCATACATGCTGACATGCACCCAAGTCCTCGCCCATCCCTAAATTTGGTAGACTGCAGTCTGTCTTTGTGTATGGCACAAGAGAAGAGTAGAGTCAATTGGAAACTGCGTGTCCTTCTGTTGCCAGTGGTCGTCTCATTCTCAGCTCGCTCTTGCCACTCCCTGTTTCAGCAGCACCGCAATCGATAGCGGTACGAGAATTTCCGACTGCCCTTGCCAGCTTTGCTTCAACCCTGCTCTCATCATCTTCGTCAGGTTAATTGCTTACGATGTGTGTTGCCGCTGTTCTCAGCAAGGGCATCACTGCGAATTGCATATCATCTTCAGTAGTCCCGGTGTCCCCATCGTAACGACCATACATCGTAGTTTGCAGATGGTGTGCTTTCATCGTGGCTGCGCACAGTCATTGCCCCCCGAAATCTGGCATCGTGTCAAGCAGCGCTCGCCCTTCAATCCCAACTGAAGTTGATGGCTACAGCACGTCATACAAATTTTGGAGAGGTAGCTTCGTGAAAACAAATTCGACATTCTGATGCTGTCGTCACCGGTGCTGTCGCGCTGCTTATGTTGTCACAACCGCGACTGCCATTTGCCACCAGGAAATTTCGAGCAACAGTTCAATTATCGAAGTGGCTTCACGTAGCAACAATAAAAGCCACAAGAACCAAAAAATCGTAAATCTCTCCCATGCAAACCCCCGGAACCGCAAACCCTAATCGTAGCCTTCTGTATCCCCTGACAGAACACTTCAGCATCGTCTCATCCGCCCCATGGGTAGTTCTCTAAACTAAAGTTCTGTTTAGGGTCCATCTTTTAATAAGGGTGTCGTACTCTGTTGGGGACCCAACAGGAACTCTAATTTCGAGAGCTACCCATGTGCCTCCGATCCAAGCCCTAAACCCTAGATCCGAAACGCAAAGGCCTGAAAGGCCGCCAGCGCCCCGGTGGAGAGGATGGCGGAGACTTTCTCGTAGCGCAGGGCCTGGCTTTAAAGAGGTTTTGGGGTTTTAAGGGTTGAAAGGGTTGAGGATTTTGGGTCTACGATTTAGGGTTAGGGTTTCGGGTTTACTGGTTGTTCGGGTTTAGGATACAGGGTTAAGGGGTTTAGGGTTGGGAGGGTGTCTGGGCTCCTGGGAACCTGCAGTCGAAGCCCAACTGCTCCCTCTCGGACTAGCGGACTAGCGAAATGTCTTCAGCAACTGGGATCATCCTCAAACCTCCTTCTAGCAGGTAGCTATGAAGGGGCAAGATAAGTCTGAGACAATACTGTACCAGCGCCACTTGTCGTTGAGACTCCGTATTTCTTCAAAAGGCCGCACTTGCTCATGGAAAGCCTCGTCGTACAGGGTGCACGGGCTTGCGTTGTGCTGCACCCACTCCGTATGTATGCCCAGGTCGTGCAACATCTTCATGTCCTCAGTGTTGCAGCAGCACCAGGAGGGTTAAGCATTGGCAGTGAAACGAGAGAACCTGACACTCCAAAATCGTGGGAAGATCGCACGGTGTGTTCACACACCAGGCGCAAACGCAAGAACCGGCATTTCGAGCAGGGTGATGGGCTGGCTGAGGAACCACACCAGCAGTGCCAATTGACTCCGGGCTTCTGCGTCTTCGAAGATGTGGTGGTCATGGGGCAGCTGCTGCGCTGCACTTCCCCTCGGAATCTTAGGCAGTTTGAGACGAAGCACCAAGCTCAGACCCGAGTGACATTCTTTTGTGCGTCATTGTTCCCAAAATCATTTTCGTGATCTTGTCCACCACGACGGTCAGTCTTATCCCCATACCCCTTCATGAGCATCATCATGCGCATCATCACCCGTCCTCTGAATCGCCATCATGTCATTCACATCCGTATACTCATCCTCGTCTTGGCCGCTTCTCCTCCTTCGCTACAACCATCACCACCGTCATCACCAGCAGCTGATGAGATAATGATGAAGAGGATGATGATGACGATGATGGTGGTGACGATGATGGTGATGATGAGGGTGGTGACGATGATGATGATGATGATGATGATAGTGGTGGTGATGGCGATCATGACGATGATGATGATGATGACGATGATGAGGATAATGATGACGATGATAATGATGATGACGATAATGACGACGACGATGGACCATGCTGTTCCGTGATAAGCAAACGATCAGGACCAGAACAATGATGGCATTGAAGGTGCTGATGGTGGCTATGGCGAACACGGTGATGATGATGACGACGATGAGGAGGAGGAGGAGGAAGCCGATGATGATGCCGATGATGACAATGACGATGATGACGACTATGATGATGATCATGATGATGATGGTGATCATGGTGATGATGATGGCAGTGGTGGTGCTGGTGATCGTGATCGTGATGGCGATGGTGAGGTAAGGGCGGGTGGTAGTGATGATGGTGGCTCTGGGGATGCCGGGATAACAGTAAGCCTGGTTTTTGTCGACAGCGGTCGTGCAGGCTTGCTTCCATGATGCAGACATGAACAAGAACGTGTGGCACCACTGTAGAGACAGGAGACCAACCAGATGACTTCACGGAGCTCAGACCGACTTTTGCCGATGGTCGCTGCTGAACTTTGACACTGGTGCCGGAATAGATCCTCTACATGGAACTTAAGTCGACCCAGAACGACCGACCAAGGATGAGCCGTCGCCACAGAAAGCACCCGACACCATGTCGTGAGCTCCTGGCGGACTCGCCTTCAGCGCATCGGCGATGCTCTGCCTCACCTGGCTTCGGCTTCGGGGCCTTTAGGGTTTGGGGTGTAGCTTTGGGTCGCAGGGTCGTGGCGTAGGAAGTTTAGACCATAGAAAATGCAGAAAAGGACGGCATACGTGAGACCACTAATTCTGGATCTCGGAGTGTTCAGACACGGGAGGTTGGACACTGCAAACGCGGTCTTCGTTTCAGTCTCCCGTGACTACATAGGCACCCGTAAGGATCGGAGCTTTGCAAGTGCCGTGCCTGTCGCCTTACTTAGATGGGAAAGCCAGCTGGGACAAAAACGGATGCGGAACGTGCTGGCAGCACTAGCAGTGACAGTACCCTGTGGATCAGCTCGCCATTAGCATCACAACTAATGACAGCTAACTGTAGCAGTGGCCCTAATCACCACAGAGACCGAAGAATTACGCTACTGCCAGGCCTGCAAGGTTCCGAGCGGCTCTGCAGCTCAGGATGAGTGGAAGCTTCGGCTCCAAGCTTGACACTAGTTTAAACTGCAGGGTCTCTTTCGGAAACCAAGGCTGAATTAAACATAGAAATCATCGAGGTGGAGCTGAGAAATGCGGAGGGCATGCACAAAACAGCGCCTTTGCTTGGTCGAGGCTTCTGCGGCCTCGGAGTGCCATGGGAGAGTCTGCTCTGATTGCCATTGACCGAGACAGAGCAGCTATGCGAAGACTCTTCGCTGTATCGTAACATCTGACTTCGTTGCTTCTTCTTGCTGACTCGAAACAGCCTTAGCGGCACGATTAAGTTCAGTATCCTGCTCCATCAAAACCAACAACAACATCAGCACCATCATCGTCACCATGCTCATCATCTTCGGCATTCCAATGATCATCACCACCAGAGGCAAGCCCCACATTCATGCCAATGCTCAGGCTGGTGCTCATACTTCTGCTAGCTGTTCTCGTGCACATCGTGATGATCATTCCCACTTTCGTCCCGCTCCTCGTGTTCATTCAGGTTTGACTATCCACCTGCAGCAGTGCACGCAAATATCTCATGTGAGCCCATCGCATTCATTCCCGTTCAGGTTCGTTCTCGTCTTCTGTTCCCCGTCAACTGCTCTCATTCCCATGCTTGTCAGAACTGTGCGGAGCTCAGTCCCCGAAGACATTTTGTCGAGATGGTTTCAAAACATACAACGGATTACTAATGCAGACCCTGATTAACAACGTTTCGTTGAAAGCAATCTGCATCCCTCTTCTGGTCCCTCCGAAGAGAGTGGGTTCGTAGATCCGTATCGAAAACCTTTCAAAAAATCTGCAACATTACATGAAAACCTCAAAAAACGCGCGACCTCTAGATACTGTGTCTGCCGAGGGGCTTCCATGCAGACACCGGAGGCCGACACGGGAGCCTCGCAGCAGAGGCCTCCCCAAAAGCGAAGATTGAAACTTCAGGAATTTGGGGATTTTTCGGGATTTGGGGTCTTGGGACTTAGGGTTTAAGGGTGCGGGTCAAGGGGTTTCGGTTGAAAGGCTTCCGACTAGGCATGTGGCTTCAGGGTTTTTGCGCGTGAGGGTTCAGGGTTCAGGATTGAAGGTCTTGGGGCTTAAGGTCGAAGATGCTGCCTTTCAATCATGGGGATTTAGGGTTTCGTACTAAATCACACCTGGTGGATCCAATGTTGCTACGCACGATGTGCATATTCGGCATTATTCGGCACATCACCCGCCTCAGCAGTGACGTGCGAGATGCCATGCTGCGACGAATGGCCAGTCAAACTCAGAACCCAGATAAAAAAAAAAAAAACAAACAGAGATAACTATGCAGCTCCCCAAGAACAGCGGAGGTGGCAACACAAACTTCACATCGGCTCGTTCTTGAAAGTAGGGCTCTGGAGTATCTATGGTACACAACGAGCCCCTAAACACTAAACCTTAAATTCTAATAGGGACCTATATTAAGCAACGAGCCCAAGGTCCAGAATTCTTGCAGTCTCTTTACTTTCCCGGCACCGACATCATGGACGCCCCTACACGCATGCCATGAACGGAGTGTCTGAGGGAGGCTTCGATGCACAAAGTATCCGCCATATGATGTCTGTTGCGCTGCCTCCGTGTAGTGCAACACGCGCGGCTCTCAGGAGTATGGGCTCGGGCTTAACATGCTCAGATATGCTGAAGCTCCAATTTGAAATTACTTTTGGGGTTTGGGGGGTAGGGGTGCAACTAAACTTTCACGGAGATTCGAAGCATGTGCGAGTCTTTTTTCTGCCCTCTCAGCGGAGTTGCGACTCTGACTGCAGAAAAGGTATGGCTCACAGACAGGTCCCCCCACGCAGGAACTCGATGCACGTCTCGTAGGCCTCACCGGAGGCCTAAACCCCAACACCCCTAAACCCTATGAATTCGGGTTTAGGGTGTAGGGTGTTGTCAAACCTAGCAGGGCAGCAGGATTCGAAGCCTTGGGTTTGCGTGCGGGCTGGCAGGGCAGGAACATTCCGGAGTGAATATAATAGTGGTCGAAACCATTGGGAAGGGTATCTTCGTTATTCCTACATCTGCGCAACTATTCAACAACCCCTTTTTTAGGAAGGGCATCGTCTTAATCCTGACATCCACCCACTTCTGTTGTAGCCCCTATAATGTTAGTCCCTAAAGCCTTGCACGGTCCCGGTCATGTAGCGAACCTGCACTACTTAACCCATCAACGATGGACTCTTCAGGGTCCCTTGAGCCTGATGTGACAAATAGATTATATCAAGCCTTGGGCTTTTTGTGAGAATTTAGGGTTGAGGGCTTGAGGCTTAGGGTTTGGCAAAAACCTTGAAGCATGCCCTAAATACTATGCGATGCTCCAAAACGCTGTTTTTACCGTCAAGGTACCGTTGTTGACCCTAAACGGCCTGTTGCTAAGGAACCTAGCTTAAGTTACGCCAGTAAGGAACCATGTTAATTGCCATAGACCCCTATATTGGCAACTCAAGCTCTTTAAGTTCCTTACCAAAAAAAGTTCGGGTTTAACACAAGTACCTTATCAAGTATAACATTGATTTGGAGCGAATCGTATCGTAAAGCAAATACGAGGGAACCTAGAGGAATGCTACCATATGCTGATAGTCAAGGTACCCGTGTTACATATGCTATTAGAATACGTGAAAACACAAGTACAAACATACTATGAAGGTACCTAGGTTGAATAAACCCTACTGTAGGCCCTAAATCAAAAGGAAGTCTGCAATAAACCCAAAACCCCTACACCATAAATTAAACCCCGAAAACCTAAACCATAAAGGCTGAACCCCTGAACCCTGAAGCCCTAGACCCTAAACCCTGAACCCAAACCTTGTTGACCCTTCGGAAATGCGCCGCCGACTCCTCGGAGGGGTTCTTGTCCTCAGCTGGGATCCGTGTTGTTCTTGAACGACTCAAAATCTGGTCCAGGGTTTAGGTTTAGGGGTTTGGGGTTTAAGAGTTCAAGGATTAAGGCTCAAGGGTCTGAGAGTTGAGGGTTTAGGGTCTGTGGGGTTCAGGGGTTTAGGGTTTCAGGGTTTAGGGATTAAGGCTGAATGAAGGGTTTAGAGTTTAGGGTTTAAGGGTTGAGGGTTTAAGGTTCAAGGTTCAGGGGCACAAGGTTGAAGGGTTTAGAGTTAGGGTTCAGACGCTTAGGGTTAGGAGCGGGGCATATCTAGGGTCTAAAGCAGGTTAGGGTAGCTTCCTTGCTTGCGGTGCCTGTGTGGGGGTTTGTGGATTGCTGTGGCTTGTCTTGTGGCTCTTAACGTCTATTGGGCTTTAGGGGGCCTCTTCACACTCGGACTTTTCAGGGTCCTGGGATTTTTTGGTTTGGGTTGAGTGCGTAGAGAGTTCTCCTACTTTGTCACGAAGCCTGTGGCTCACAATGGTCCAACACCCTTGTAATTAAACGTGATGCTTGGGCCGCTTATAGATGCCCTACTGATGCCCTACTGAACATTCGGGGTTTCTGGGTTTTGAGCTCCGGGGTAGACACTAAGCCTTAAACTTTTCGCAAGATACTGTCGCCTGCGCGCCATCCTAAACCCGATTCCCCTACACCCTAAACCTTAAACCCTTAAGGCCTAAATCCTCAAACCCTAACTATGAGATTCTTTGGACCCTTGCGGCAGACCTGGAACCTGTGCTCTTGCCAACGCCCCCCTCTCCACGAAGCTAAGGAGCAGGATGGTAGAGCAAGGCCAGCCTCGTTTAAAACAGCAATGGCCAAGGGTGTTACTGCTTGCCTTGGGGGTTTAGGGCTTAGGATCTCGGGTTTAGGGGTTTGGGTTTAGGGTTTAGGGTACTTTAGTCTCAGGCTCCATGCACCTATATAGTATGCATAGTATGCACTTCGGCCTTAAACGGCTTCCTGTCTAGGTACTATAACGTCCAAGCAGATACAAGATAGGTACCCTTAGGAAGAGGGGTTCAGCTCAAGAGCACCGCAAGGTTACGATAGGGGCTGCCATTAGGGTTCTGTGAGGGCACTCAGAATCAAAGATAAGGGCTGCCATAAGGGCATTCAGAGAGTCTGGAAAGGTTCGACAAGTTTTACGTCCCTGCTTTTGTAGTACAAGGCCGACATGGGTTCTATGCGGGGTGTCAGGGCTTCTGTGCCTTTTAAGGATTTGGCGTGGCCTTAAACCCTAAACCCCAAACCGGTTTAAGGTGTGCTCCTTGCTCGGCTCGAACATCAGACGGCAAGCATCAGCGAACCCCGAATGACACAAAGCACCCAACCCTTACCTTAACCTGCTTGCTTTTTGGCAGGCTCCGAGAAGTTCTATGTAAGGGCTCAGAATAGGAACCTACGAAAAATTCGCTTATGGTAGTTTCAGGTGTACTCACGTCAACCCGAAGACTGGCTTTCTGGGAGCACTTGCGGCGTTCATCCAACCACTCTTACTCCCTAAGCATGCCTTCATGAGGTTCTAAAGGTCTTGGTGGTCACAAAGTTTCTCTGAGCCCTGCCCTGCAGCCCCGCACAGGATTCAAAACCAAGCTGGTCAATCCCTAAGGCAATCCCGAAACGTCAATCGAAGCCTAAACCCTAAATCCTACGTAAACCACTCAAGCCCTATGGGCTAAGGGCCCCTTTTCAACCCGGGAGCCCCAAGACCCCACACCGGATCTCTGATACTAGCCCTAAAGCTCTTAAAACCCTAAACCCTATACACTGAAGCAAGCTTGAACTCTGGGAATTCTATGCCGGCCTGCGATATGCTCTTTTCACCTGCGCAAGCTGCTGGTGTTGAAGGCGCGCCCTAAACCTTACACCCTTTAATCTCCATTGCAGTTTCGTTCAGGGGCTACCTTTTAGGATCTTGAATATAGACTTGGTTTATACCCAGAAAAGGACTAGGTGGGAGTAACCATAGGTTCAACTTATTTTGGGTCTAGGGTGGCTTGTTACGTTCCTCACCAACTGATGGCAATGTCAAGTACAATACATCGACATACGGCCTGCTCGACGAGATCGACCGACACCATCTTGCTATTTACAACGCAAGCACGCATCGCATATCCAATACTCCTCTTGGAAGGTCTGCCGGCATACCAGCTCGACTTGCTCAGACATTGGACAAATTAAAGCAGAATTCTCAAAACCCGAAGCCCGGCGGAAGTCGCCAGAGGGTACAGCATGCATCCGAAAAGTTCTGAACCCTTGGTGGCGCGGTGCGCCTGATCCTCCCTCGCGTCCAGTGGCAGTTGGAGGTGTCGGAGCCCTTCAGCCACCTCCCAGGTAAATCGGATTTACGGCTTAGGGTTCAGGACAAGTTTAGGACACGAAAAGCCCTGTGCGCTGTTCACGAGTTCACGGGTAGTTTGATCGAGTCGTTCTGGCATGATGAATCAAAGCACCAACCCACCTCCCGCGGGATGCTTCCCCGTCTCGCAAGCATCTCAGCTTCCACTCTGAGCTGCGTTGCTTGCTTCACCTGACAACTGCCATGACCGCTGTCATTGTCGATCGTTGCTGCATTCACTCTGACACAATGCCTCAGGGGGACCATGTTGAAACCCCTACAATGCACCCGTCCCCGTTGCCCACGCAACATGGTCTGATAGAACTTCGAAGCCAGGCCGCTCTCTCTGCGCTGCGGGCAGCCAAGCGCTCCAGGCGTTTGAGAGCCTGCCCCGAACCACTCGCTTTTTTGATGTGATGATGGCAATGCTGCTGGATTAACAGAAAGCGGCTGCGTTTAGCATGGGTTGCTGTGTGGGATGCCGCACTGATGGTCGCGGTGATGCTTTTGTTCTTGGATAAGGTGACGTAGAGAGCTTGTGTGCATCTATCAGTTGAACCTTGCCGGCTTAAAGGGCTTTGAGGTTGTGCGGGCTAAGAAGGGTTGCAGGAGTTGCTGGCAGGGTTTAAGGCTTATGGCGTTCAGGCTTAGGGTTGAAAGCGGTTTGGGTTTTCCGGTTTTTTGTCCTACTGCAGTGGCGCATCGGTTTGGGGTTGCACTCGGGAGTTTCAAAACGAGAGCCCATGTTGCAGGGTGAAGGATCTTGCTGCGCAAGTTTCAGTCAGAGTAGACCTTGCCCAGTTTGGGTAATAATGCCACCGCCAACCAATTAGATGATCATTTTTACGAATTCCTAGGGTCCCCCCTACATTTCACCGATATATCATTACTACTTCCCCCATTAGATGATTATTCCTAGGTTCCCCCCTAAATTTCACCATTATATCACGACTACTACCCCATTATCAACACAATTCTAGGAATAACCATAACCCCATCTATTACCTCTAAGGTGGCATTATTACTCAAAAAGGGCAAGGGGTTCCTTGTAGGATTTGGTTCAGGGTTTGGGGTTAAGGGTTTTAACTACATTGTAATTATAATATATAACTGCTTATGTATTATAATTACATTATAACTATAACCATGCTAATAATAGTGTTATAGTTGTTTCTATACTAATGAAAATACATAATCTACATATTCCATAATCTCTTCAGTGGTTGTATTATAATATTCTCTCCAACCGACCAACCAAAAATCAAAACATTCTCGTAGTATTTCCTTTACTATAACTTCCTTACTAATTTCAAAGCCGTTAAATCTTATAGTAGCGGTTTTAATCTTGTAATATGCGATTTCCTTTTTAAGCTCTTCTATATCGGTTAAATTGCGAATGACACAATACAATAGTATCACGTGACATACACCGTGAAACATAAGACGTTCGCGGTCTGAATGGTTTCTGACATTCATAAACTGCTTCATTATCTTTCGCAGTGGGTTATTTGACCTTCTGATGATGTTTTTGTATTTTCGCCTATCCATGATTGTATCAATGTCGTGGTTACGATATAGCAAGTGTAATATTATTTTTTGCACGTTGTTTAACTTTGAAAGTTTGAGGTTTTTATCAAAGTCTTCCATTTCTAAAATCTTATTTCTACACTTATCGCACTTGTCATATTCACATACACGATTACATATATCAATCGGCAATTTGCTATTTAACACCCTTACTTTGTTGGTTTCTTCGCACTTCCAACAATTTTCAAACTTGAACATTTCCCTGTTACTATATGTAGGTGTTATTTCTTTAAGTCATTTTCCTCAGAATTATTATTTTCTTAAGATTTACTGCATTGCGGTTTATTTGACAGACTTGTCCAAGCATTCAGAACAAGTCGCAATGTATTTAACATAACAATAAGAATGCTTACCAACACAATAGCAACGCTTGAAATAATCAATGGATTTGACTTGCTTACAACGATAACACATCCTAGTATTAATATTATTTGTTTCAGTATATGGTTCAAAATCAACTAATATCCTATCTACTCTTACTGGCATTATTATTATTATATACACTTTTTCATAATGCGATATTATGAAAATTTGCACCGGGAGAGACTTAGCTCCTCTCGCGATTGCTCTACATGCAACCGGTTCCTTCAGGTTTAACGAAACTAATTACGAATTAATGTCATTACCAAACTCTTATGGTTTGCTTATGAACCTGTAGACTTGCTAGGCACTCGGGGGCATTGGCTCACTTCCTTCTTCTGTGTTCATTGGGGACGTTTTTTTTTTATGCCAAGATGGCCTGTCAATATACATGAGATTTTAATCCATAATATTTAAATTATTCTTCAAAATATTTACATCTTTGTCTATCCTTTCAACATCCTCCTCCACTTTTTCTAATCTCTCTTCTGGTGTAGGCTTTCGCGATCCCCACCCGGTGGTAACTGTATCAACACCTTCATTATCTTGTGGGCTTGTTTTAAATATGTCGTTTTCATCGGGGGTTATTCCTCTCCCCATCTTCCAACTGCTCCTGTCTTCAATTATTGTTTTACCTTCATTGTTTATCTTAGTTTCTTTGTGAAAAGTCTTTCTTCTGCATTTGCAGGGCAAACAGTTTAACCCATCCGTGTTCAAGTGGAAGCCACCTTCATTAGTGTCACTATGATTGTCGCTCATTATACTTTCTTAGATTTTTTTAAATACTCAAGAACTGCCTTAAGCAATTCTAAAGAAGCGGTGCAACACCTCTTAAGCTTGGTGTCTTGAATTACAACCTTTTCAATTTCTTCAATCTCCTCTATCGTTTCTAAATACTTCTCCATTATATTAAAAGATATTTTTCTCTTATTAGTTAATGAGTGAAGAAATACCTAAAGTAGAACCGATAGACATACCCGAATATAAATATAAAAACAGCAAGTTTGACATGATGCCGAAGCTACCCGCGCGGATGTTATGCGTGGCTTCTTCAACAGGTGGTAAAACAGTATTGATCCAGAACTTGATATTAAAGATTTACAGAGGATCCTTTGAGAGAATATACATCTTCTCGCCCAGTGTTCATGTTGATGACACTTGGTCGGCAGTAAAGAAATACATAAGGGATGTAATGAAGGTAGATGCAGAAAAGGAACAACTGTATTATGAGGAATACGATCCGGTGGCACTAAAGAAGATCATAGACACCCAGCATAAAGTCATTGATTTTCAGAAGAAGAATAAACAAAAGGATCTGTTTAGCATTCTGTTAGTGGTGGACGACTTTGCAGACGATCCCAAATTTGTAAGATATTCAAGCTTGTTACATGGGTTATTTACAAGAGGTCGCCATAACGCCATCTCATGTATTTTATCCACGCAGAAGTATAATGTCTTGGCCCCGATCATTAGGTTAAATGCCAGTGCTTTATTCATCTTCAGGCTCAAGAATATGAACGAAGTCAACGCATTTTTGGAAGAGAATTCCGCCTTGGTGGATAAAAGCACTTTGTATGAAATGTATCAGAAAGCCGTGAATTTTGCGCCTTACTCTTTCTTCTACATAAACACAAATGCTAAAGATGTTAGTAATATGTTCTTCATTAATTTTCAACAACGCTTTGAAATAGGTGATCAATAATATTATTTGTTGTTAAAATATAACAAGATTCATAATATTATTATTCATAATAAATACCATTATTAATCACTATCGCTTTTCCCTTTCCCTTTTCCTTTTAATGCGATAATTTCTTTTTCAAGCTTGTCAAGTCTGTTCAAAGCATACTGCAAAGCACTCCATAAAATGGGCGTTGTCTTTCCATAATCCATTCTTAAATAGTCGTCTTCACATTCATATATTATGTTACCCCATTCATCAGGTAATTTCTTCGTTAAAAAATCGTCTGCAATATAACCGACGCATTTTCTATCATGACCTTTATAATTGTATGTTTTAGGCTTGATGTATTTAATGACGTCTACACACTTCTTAATATTAATCTCTTTAATATTCTCTTTAAGCCTCTTGTCTGATGTTTCAGTGGAAGCGCCATTTACATGTAAGCCTGTGCTTGATACTTCACATATATTAGCACCATTAATACTTAGAAATATTATCCCATCTGAATCTGGGTTATCTATTTTAACTCTTTCAGATGTGCTTACCGTCTGATGTGTAAAGTCCAAATGTCCTAATAAATTAACATTAGTATTAGTTAATTTAATTTGTGGTGTGCTTCCTATTGTTCCAACAATCATATTAATGCTTCGGTCGGTGTCTCCATTTCTTAAAACCAGATTATAGTCTGTCCCGTCTAATTCTTCTTTTATTCCTGATGAATGTTGAAATAATATTTCTCCCCATACTCTTAAACTTGCTTCTGCTGTTATATCACCAATACTATTAAAAGTTAAATTATTTGTGACCGCGCTGTTCAATGTTATTCCGTTAGTGTCGTTTAGTTGTAAAGCAATAGATGCTGTTGTTGGATCGGTTGCTCTGTTTGCTTGAAATGAGATATTTATTTCATCGTTTGTTATTAAATTTAAGGAATTATTGGCATCTGCTCTCCTATATATTTTGCTATTATTCCATATTAAGATTTCATTGTTAAAAGTCGTAGCGCCGTTAAATCTTACTGTTGAACTAAAATTAGAATTACCACCGTTAACATTAAGAACATCTACAACGGCATTTGCTCCGATTCCTAATTTATTGCACCTCACCGCGTTACTATTATTCATATTTAAAAATAACTGTTGTGACGAGTCATTTGTATTATATGCATCAATACTAAAACCTCTAAATCTTAATTTCCCACTATTATTAGCAATTGCTACAACATTACTAGCGTCTGTTGTCGGTTTATAAATTGTAAGTCCTGAATTGTTAGAAATATTGAAATTATCAGTTTCATAATAAATATTATCTTTAAAATAAGTTGGTTTAAACAATGTTGTTCCACCCGTTGTATTATTGCATTCTAGATAAGTATTTGTGTCAGTATCGTCATTAGTTCCATTAATTAATCTTATAGCGTTCGCGGTTTCATTAATTGATAAGTCCATTGATATATTAGATTTAGTAGCATTAGTATATCTTTCAATACTTGTGTTAGCGTTTGTTAATTCAATATCCCCCTTTACTGTCAAATTGCTTGTTATGTCAATTTCACCTCCTATTGTTACATTAGTTGTAATATTTACATTATTCACCGACAAGTCATTATTCATATTAATATTACCCGTAGGGTTTACGTTCAAATCCACAACACTATCGTCGCTTGTGGCATTGGCATTAATTTTGTTTCCTTGTAGAGTTATGTAATTTGTAGCATTCTTAAATACACTAACAACTTTATCTCCTCCTCCTGTT